AAAACAAGCAAATGCTGGACAGAGATTGGCTAACTGAAGGACAATATATCCATATGACAAAACTGCAGTTATCCAGATCCTGTTTTAGAAGAGCATTCATGGCACAGAAAAAGGTGTGCACTGTACTAGCAGGTTACACTCCTGTAACCTGGCCCCCACCCTTTTTAAAGAAAAGCAACACACATATACATTGGGGACTTCCCTGGTGGTCCAGTGGCTGACACTCGGTGCTCCCAATGTAGGGAGCCTGGGTTCAATCCGTGGCCAGGAAACTAGATGCCACAACTAAAGGTTCTGTGTGCCACAACCAAGAACCAGTGCAGCCAAATAAATAATTAAAAAAAAAGAGAGAGAGAGCCGATCACTAAGTCTGTAACAGTGACTCTGAGCATGGCAATTACAGGAGATTTATATATTAATTTAGGTGCATTTCTGTTATTTTTGAAATCTTTAGCAATGAGTGTGTACTATTCAGGGGACAAACCATGTAAAAGAGGAGGTTTGGGTGGGGACAAACCATGTAAAAGAGGAGGTTTGGGTGGGGAACTGAAAATGAAAGGGTACCAACCAACTTGTGATCACTTCTGCCCAGGAAAAAAAGGAGATAAGTAAAGAAGCCCAGCACTTCCCACAAATGGTTTACACTCCAGCTGGGGGGCCGGCGCCTGCCGGAATTCCAAAACCGGGTAGGAGCTCACTGTGGGTAGGGCATTAGGCCAGAAAAGGAAACCGTGAAGCAGAGTCGCGCGGACTGGCAGCTCCTGACGGTGCCTTGGTGGTCTCCCACCCAACCTCCCCCTCCAGGGGATCCTCTCCCACTTTAGAGAGTATTATTGCCACACATTTTGATTCTATGTAAATACACACACTGCAGAAGACATAAACACAGTCACTGTTGTTTTGAACAGTCAGCTAGTGTTTAAATTGACTGACAGATGTACCCCTTTCATTACTCTTCATTCCTGCTTGCCATCTCTGGTCTTCCATCGCAGGGTCGTTTTCTTCCTTGGTGCCATCGCTCAGCCGTGTCTGACTCTTTGCCACCCCATGGACTGTAGCCCACCAGGCTCCTCCGTCCATGGGCATCTCCCAGGCAAGAATACTAGAGTGGCTTATCATTTCCTTCTCCATGGGACCTTCCTGACTCAGGGCTCAAAACTGCATCTCCTACACTGCAGGACAACGCGTAACCACTGAGCCACCAGGGAAGCCCGCTCAAATTTATCTTTCTAAAGGATGCTGTGTCACGTTGTACAGTGTCTAGTTTCCTGCCAAAACTGTCAAGCTTTGCAAGTTTTCCCCTTGAACACAGTCAGCACAGTTGTCTAAGAGTCTTGGACTTCCCTGGTGGCGCAGTGGATAAGAACCCGCCTGCCAGTGCAGGGGACGGGGGTTCCAGCCGAAGCACCCAGAGCCTGTGCTCTCAGGCAATAAGAAGCCCTCGAACCACAGCCAAGAGCAGATCCCCTCTCGCTGCAACTAGAGAAAAGCCTGAGCAAAGCAACAAAGACCCAGCGCAGCCATAATTTAAAAAAAAATAACATTTTTAAAGTGTCTGTGTCTCATATATTTCCATTATCTAGAGCCTCCAAGGGGATGTTTTTCTTGTTTGTAGTGTCTGCTAAGTTTGTCCTTTTGCCTCATCTCATGTGCGTGCTTATCTTTGATTACATACTGGACATTGTATCTGAAAATCATTACAGAAGTCATTTGTAGCTTAAGGTGCTTTCTTCCTTTGGGCAAGATTTCTGTTTGCAATGCTAGTCTCCTTGGGACATTAGAAGTCCTTGGTCATCGTAATCCACTTTCTACTTTTGGAGTCCTCTGGGCCATCCATGTTAGAGAGCTGGTTTACTTCCAGGTCACCGTTATTCTTGAGGGCTGGACCCTGAGGTGGAGTGTGGACTGGGACCCCAATCTCGGCATGCCCTGGACCAGATTTTTGTTCTCCTAGCCCCAAGATTAATTCAGCCTTTCAGGTGTCTCAGGGCTCCCAGCCCCCCGAACAGGAGTAGCCCTGGTATCTGGCTCACCTCCCTAGGTCCCCCTTCCCCTGACTTTCAGTTGCTTACTCTCCCGACATATATTCACCAGGAGGATGGTCCACTCTTGCTGTACAGGGAAGTTCCTCCTATAAATATGAAATAGGATGCTATTGAGGGTGGTCATCCTTCTGTTATTCTTCATTTTATCATGAGTGCCTCCGGAGTAAACCCTCCTCAGGTAAGATGCTGTCTCTGGGTGATAAATGTATTTTTTTATGCTAAAGAAGTATTGACTGATTTAAAGTTTACCCTTGAAAAAACCATAGGGCTCCCCTGGTAGCTCACTGGTAAAGAATCCACCTGCAGTGCAGACCCCGGTTTGATTCCTCGGTCAGGAAGTTCTCCTGGAGAAGGGCTAGCCTACCCACTCCAGTATTCTTGGGGCTTTCCGGGTGGCTCAGCTGGTGAAGAATCTGCCTGCAATGTGGGAGACCTGGGTTCAATCCCTGGATTGGGAAGATCCCCTGGAGAAGGAAATGGCTACCCACTCCAGTATTCTGGGCTGGAGAGTTCCATGGACTGTATGGTCCATGGGGTTGCAAAGAGTTGGACACAACTGAGCAACTTTCACTTTCACTTGAAAAACATGGGCTTGAAATGCATACGTCCACTTATATGTGGATTTTTTTCAATAAATACCACAGCATACATAGTTGATTGAATCCATGGATGTGAAACCACAAATATAGAACAGAGGACTGACAATAAAATTATATGCTAATTTTCAACCATGCAGGGGTCAGCACCCCAAACCCAGTGTTGTGAAAATGTCAACTCCATTTTATTGACTATAAAAAAGTGGGTTGAATTTGGTCAAATGCCTTTATGAAAAGTACCTATTTTTCCTTTGGATCTATTAACATGATTTATTATTTTACTGGATGTCCTGCTATTGAATCATCCATCTCTTATTAAAATAAAACCAGCATTTTGATCTGGTACTTTATAATGTGTTGCTGGATTCTGTTCGATAATATTTTAAGGCTGATAAATATTCTGTTCGATAATATTTTAAGGATAATGAGCTTAGTCCCTCAGTTGTGTCCAACTCTTTGCGACACCGTGAACTGTAGCCCGCCAGGCTCCTCTGTCTATGGGGATTCTCCAGGCAAGAACACTGGAGTGGGTTGCCATGTTCTCCTCCAGGGAATTTTCCTAAGCCAGGGATCAAACTAAGGTCTCCCGTACTTCAGGCGGATTCTTTACCATCTGAGCCACGAGGGAAGCCCTTTCAGGATAAGATTGTGGTAATATTTTAATGACTTTGTATTAATAAAAGAGATTGGTATAGACTTTTTATATAAGGTCTTTGGTAAGATTTGGGTGTCAATTTATACTTGCTTTATAAAAAGGAGTGGGAAATTTTCTTCTTTTTCTAGGTATTCTCTGGAACATTTAAATGCCATTGAAATTTACCTGCTCCTCAGAGGTCTGCTAACACTCCCTGTCAGGCCATCTGAATCTGGAGATTTTCTGAAGGGTAGTACTTTGGCAACTTCATTTCTTATCCTGAAATTTGTCTAGATTTTCTATTCTACTTATGGTTAATTTTGGTAAATTATGTTTCCCTAGAAATGCATTTCATCCAGGTTTTATGTTTATTTTCATAAAACTGTACATAGTATTCTGTGTCTTTTATTCTCTCTCTGATTTACTACTCTTGTAGCTTTGTGTATTTGTATTTTCCCCTTTTACTTTTCTTGATTAGGTTAGATACTGATTCATCTATTTTATTGATTTTTGAGAACAAATGTCTTTATCATTTAAGCTGCAGTTTTTCTCTTTTATAGCTATTGCTTTCTTTCTTTTTTTCCGATTTTCCTAATGTATTTTCCAACCTTTTGAGTTAGACGCCAAACCAGTCTACCCTGGGGCACTCAGTTCTGCTGATGTTCAGAGCTGTGCATCTCCTGGAGTGCTGCGCTGTAGGCTTGTCCCAGACGTCAGGCATGCGGGTCTTGCTCTCGTTTCTCGAGGCTCTGCAGCTTTGCATTACATCACGCCCTAAGCCCAAGGAGACTTCAGTAGAGGCTATTAGCCAGGGCCATTTTGTTTTCCGATTTTGTTATTAATTTGTAGGTTTATTGTATTTGTAATCACATACTCTACTATACTTAAATCTTTTCAAATTTTTTGTTAAGATTTCCTCCCCCTCCTTTTTTTTCTTTCCCCCCTTTTTTAATGAGGATTTTCCAGACCAAGTCCCTGCTGTTTGGTTCAAGTCTCCAAGGTCTGGGCCTTGGATCCCACACAGCAGGTAGCAAGAGCTCCCCAGCAAGCCAGAAGACAGTGAGTGTGACTGACTGCAAACCCAGGGTCACCGGACCCAGGAGGCCTCCATCTCTTCCCCCAACCAGTTCTCCCTGTCACCTGGAGCTCTGGCCCCGGGAGGCCCTGCCAGGGCAGCGCACACCAGGCCACCCCTCTGCCCAGCTCCAGCAACAGTGGCTCTAGGGACCCAGCCCGGGAGACTCACAGACACGCTTCCAGCCTGACAGCCACACCCCGACCTCAGGGTCCTGAAAACACCCTCTTTCCGAGGGCGGACAGGAGCACCCTGAGACGCCCCACAGGCAGTGGGCGGCAGAATCTCAGCAGGAGGCGCAGGAGCTAGGAACACAAATGCAAAGAGCCAAGACCTGCTAACCCAGGCTGACGCCCACCCACCCACACCCAGAGGAGCTCGGGGACCCTCGGGCCCCTTCCAGGCCTCCTCTCCCCTCCCTGTGGGGACACACCACAGGGCATCCACACCCGGGGCCTTCCAGGCGTCCCAAGTCCTCAAGTGGCCTTTGGTTCAATCCAGCTTCAGTGAAACACCAGTTCAGGCACGAACGTAGAAAGCAGGACAGACTCCTGAGCCACTGTAAGGTGAGTCGCACACGTTTATTGCGGGCCCCAGGTGGGACGGGCCCCGGCACGTGCTCCGGTGTGGTCTGGCCACACAGCGCGTGCTCACCGTCTGGAGGACGCCAGCTTCTTCTCGCTGGAGCGCACCCTGAAGCAGCCCTGCAACAGAGGCAGAAGGCCGGTCAGGCCCCTCCCGTGCGAGGGGCTTGCCTGCGTCGTGTGTGCATGCGTGTGCAGGTGTGCCCGGCTCTGTGTGACCCCATGGGCTGTAGCCCACCAGGCTCCTCTGTCCATGGGATTCTCAAGGCAAGAATACTGGAGTGGGTTGCCATTTCCTTCTCTGAGGGATCTTCCCAACCCAGGGAAAGAACCTGGGTCTCCTGCATTGCAGGTGGATTCTTTACCATTGAGCCACCAGGGAAAACTTAAGTGCACAGAAAACTCTGGGGGGAGGAAGTGCTGACTTCCAGGCAAGCAAAACCCGTAACCATCCCCTCCCACGTGCTTCACATCTCGATTCAGCAGAGACGGGCGCTGGTGCATCCCGCTCCCCCCACTCGTATGGCTCGCCCCATCCCACGCCCACCGCCCAGCTGAGCCCCTCTGAGCACGCGGGGTGGACGGCTTCTTCTGTATGACTGTGTGGAGGGTTCCCCTCACTGTCTGTGAGGCCCCCACAGCGTGGACCCAGCGACGACTCCCACTCAGCGACGCGAGACACCCAGATGAGCTTGGGTTAACTGCTGCCAGGCCCCCGTTCTGAGAAGAGGCCTGGCCACACTCTCTGGGTTTATACTGAGACATGATGGATGAGAGGTTTAGTGGATGATGGAGGCAAAATCCCTCTGGAACAGACAGGGTATACGGCAGGATGATCCACTGGTCCAAGGAGACTTGGAAACCATTCCTGTGTTTAATGCCACCACGGAAAGCCTCTCCAAACACTCTTCCACGTTCAAAAGAGAATCAGCTTTCCCTGTGACACACCAGCTCTGAGAATCCAAACAACACCGGGCAGCAACGGAAGGGACCTCCATTCTTTTACGTTGGTTCTTCATGATGCTTCACGAGCCAAGTGTAAAATGTGTTGTCATGGACAATGGGGTCTCTCTTCAAGTGCTGGAGCCATTTCTTCTTTTGCGATCAGGACAGATTTCATACCAACAGCAAACATCCCTGTGAAGGCTCTTCTCGCTGGGCTCAAACACACCACATGGGTAGCTTGTACACTGTGTACATCATCTTACAGAACAGGCACTGCAAAAAGAACGCTGAACAAAGACAGCTCTGCCGTGGTGAAATACACCTTGTAATAGGTCACACTAAAGTAATAACACAGTGACCGTCACCCTTACCCCTCTAGAGAAGAGTCTGTAGAAGAAGCCTCTCTTCTGAGGCCTGGGAACTTGCTGGTCCGTCTTCTCATCTGGCTCTAAAACTGGCTCGTTTTCCATTTCATTGATGTCCTTGAAACACTCAGACTCGATCATCTGCAACCACAGCAGGGCAGGACAGAGAAGTGACGGAGGTCCACGTCCCCCCCAGCCTCCAGCCCAGCATTCAGCAGCCACTCTGCTCCCATCCCTGGTTCCCACCACCCCCGCTTCCTGACCTCCTCCTGGGGTAGGTCATGTGGCTGCCAATGTGACCCCCCAAAGCTGAACCTGTGGCAAGTCAGGGAGCAGGACTCAGGTTGGCAGGTGCCCAGCAGACCCCAGAGCCACCTCCGTCCCCCTCCTGAGGGGCCAGGGGCAGCTCCTCAAGGAGTTTTACCTCCAAATATGCACACACGCACACGCACACACATACATGGATGTGTGTGCAAAGCAGCTAGAGAGCTATTTCACAGCAGAAGCTGCTCATGTCTCGGGGGCAGGAAGGAGCTGCGGACTGCACCGCGGGGACGGCACCTCGTTCTGCCAGGGGATGGAGACACAGCCTGTGACGAACTCGCTGTAGAAGCCGCTGTCGGTGCTGTCCAGGTGTATGCCCCGCACCGCAGAGAACTGCTCAATGTCCAAGATGTCCTTGCAGTAAACCTCCTGCGGCTGTCGGCAGGAACAGAGGCGTGGCTGAGGGCTGCCTCCAGCGTGCTCACAAGCCCAGGACGCCGAGGCTCGCATGGCTGCACGCCTCCGCTCCACACCCTCCTAATTCTCAGAGCCACAGGCCCCTGCTCACCTACCACACTCAGCCACAAGGCCCCAGACAGCCCCCTCTCTCCTGCATGGAAGCTGGGTCACAGAAGAGGCTGGGGGTGGAGGAGGGCGGACAGGATGCTCTTGCTGGAGCACCATACCTGAGCTGGGAGAGGAGCCAGGCCCGCAGCCCTGCCCGCACCCATAGCTGGGGGCACGTGGGACCCAGGGCCACCGCCTCTGAAGTGGGAATCGGGGTGGGACCCGGGTTCCTGGTTAGGACTTGGCCATCCCACCAGGCGAGGAGCTGGGAGCCCCGGGGGTGGGGGGCCCTCACGGGGCTGTAGAGGGGACCACGGGGAGCACTGAGATTGTAAGTCACAACTCTGTCCCGCCCCCACACCAAACCGCCCGACACTCGTCTCGGAGGCCGCTGTTCACGGCCTCGGGCCCTGGTTATGTGCAGGAGAAGCCCCAGGACAGCCCGGCGCCTCGGCCCCTCCCTCTGCGCACCACCCGGCGTGCCTCCCTCTGCCTCAGGATGGCCGCCCGGCCGGCCTCCACGCCCCGTGGCTGGCAGTGCCCAGCGCCCGGTGGGAAGGGCTCCGAGAGGCCCCACCAGTTTCCTCATGCTGCAGCCCATCTGGCTGCCTGGCTCAGCGAGTCCAAGCAAGTTCTTCCGAGACTCTGGGGCCTGGAACCGAGGCTCCAGAACCACATTTTGCAAGGACTCACTCAGAGGACCAAGCTGCGGCCACAGCACATTCCACATAAACACAGTGAGTCCTGACTTGCAGAGCCAGAAGGATTTTAATGGCACGTCTCAGGTTCATCACACAACATTTCATGCACAGATGGCCACAACAAAGGACACAAACCGTACGTACTGACGGAAGCAGAAGAGATTAAGAAGAGGTGGCAGCAATACATAGAACTGTACAAAAAAGGTCTTAATGACCCAGATTAACACGATGCTGTGATCACTCACCTAGAGCCAGACATCCTGGAGCATGAAGTCAAGTGGGCCTTAGGAAGCATTACTACGAACAAAACTAGTGGAGATCATGAATTCTAGCTGAGCTATTTTAAAGCCTAAAAGATGATGCTGTGAAAGTGCTACACTCAATATGCCAGCAAATTTGGAACACTCAGCAGTGGCCACAGGACTGGAAAAGGTCAGTTTTCATTCCAATCCCAAAGAAGGGCAATGCCAAAGAATGTTCAACCCCCCACACAACTGCACTCATTTCACACGCTAGCAAGATAATGCTCAAAATCCTTCAAGTCAGTCTTCAACAGTATATGAACAGAGAACTTCCAGTTGTACAAGCTATATTGAGAAAAGGCAGAGGAACCAGAGATCAAATTGCTGGATCATAGAAAAAGCAAGAGAGTTCCAGAGAAACACCCACTTCTGCTTCATTGACTTCATTTGTTGTGGATCACAACAAACTGAAGAAAATTCTTTGAGAGATGGGAATACCAGACCACCTTACCTGCTTCCCGAGAAACCTGTATGCAGGTCAAGAAGCAACAGTCAGAACTGGATATGGTTCCAAATAGGGAACTGGAACAGACTGATTCCAAATAGGGAAAGTAGAACATCAAGGTTGTATATTGTCACCCTGCTTATTTAACTTATATGCAGAGTACATCATGAGAAATGCTGGGCTGGAGGAAGTACAAGCTGGAATCAAGATTGCCAGGAGAAATATCAATAACCTCAGATATGCAAATGACACCACTTTTAAGGCAGAAAGCGAAGAGGAACTAAAGAGCCTCTGGATGAAGGTGAAAGAGGGGAGTGAAAAAGCTTGCCTAAAACTCAACATTCAAAAACCTAAGGTCACGGCATCTAGTTCCATCATTTCATGGCAAATAGCTGAGGAAACAATGGAAACAGTGAGAGATTTTATTTTCTCAGGCTCCAAAATCACTGTGGACAGTGACTGCAGCCATGAAATTAAAAGACGTTTTCTCCTTGGAAGAAAAACTATGACTAACCTAGACAGCATGTTAAAAAGGAGAGACATCACTTTGCTGACAAAGGTCTGGATAGTCAAAGCTATGGTTTTTCCAGTAGTCATATGTGGATGTGAGAGTAGGACTATAAAGAAAACTGAGCACTGAAGAATTGATGCTTTTGAACTGTGGTGCCCGAGAAGACTCTTGAGAGTCCCTTGCACAGCAAGGAGATCAAACCAGTCAGTCCTAAAGGAGATCAACCCTGAATATTCACTGGAAGGACTGATGCTGAAGCTGAAGCTCCAATACTTTGGCCACCTGATGCAAAGAGGTGACTCACTGGAAAAGACCGTGATGCTGGGAAAGACTGAAGGTAGGAGAAGTGGGCAACAGAGGACGAGATGGTTGGATGGCATCACTGACTCAATGGACATGAGTTTGAGTAAACTCCGGGAGTTGGTAATAGACAGGGAACCCTGGCGTGCTGCGGTCCGTGGGGTCGCAAAAGTTGGACACGACTGAGCGACTGAACAACGACACGTTCATCGTATCCCACAGAGTGAGCCCATCTGCACACTTCCTACTTTGCCTTCGGTAGCCCAAGGCCACCCTGGGGACACTCCTCCCAGCTCCGAGCTTGCAGGCCCCGCCAGGCTCTGGGGACGTGACCCTCTATGGCCTCACAGCACACTCACCAGGGCCACTCCAGGGCCCACAGCACTGAGCCAGGATCCGGTGAGACCCAGCGTGGGGAGGCACATTCAGGACTAAAGATGCCATGACAGGGGAAGGGCCCCTGCGGGATAGCTGGGGAGGGTCAGGGCTGCCGAGGTTCCTGGCAGGGCAGTGACCTGGGAGGGTGGCTGCAGCTCGGGCGGCAGAGGGGCTGGAGGGCTGGAGAGGACAGGCCACCCCGCTGCCCTTGGCAACACACTTACATCAGGGTGGAAAGGCGGGTCTAACATGTGGGCCTCCAGTCGCCTGAAGTTGATGTCCCTGAACACAGGGTGTCCCTTGACTTCAGCCGCCCCTTCGCCCCTGCAGCCCAGGCGCCGCTTAGGATCCTTGGTGAGTAACTGTGGAGGAGCATAAATGAATCAGCCAAAGCTCCCAGGTAAAAGGAAACCCCCGAATCTCCACAATCATGGCCAAAGAATGAGTGAGGCAAAGAGCGCCTCCAATGAAACAGTCACTCAGATTTCAAAGAATAAACCAAACCTCATCACTGCAGATTTTACCAATTTAAAATATGTAACGCTTCCAAAAGTCAAACTAAAGTTCTGCCTCTGAGCTATCAAAAAAATTAAAAGTTGACTAAATAAATCTTTAAGAAAAGTTTAACCCTGTAAAAATTAGGGGATGTTTTATCAAGAAATCGAAGCTGTCTGGGAACTTCAGACACACCACTTCCATGCCAAGTGACATGGATAATTAGAAACCATTTTAATTTATTCATTAAACAGATCACTGAGGACCTCAGATGAAACAAAAATTTAGCAAACCTAGTTCTAAAATTTGTAATTCTTAAAACTAGTAGAAAGTGTCTCCTTCACAAGTATTCCTTACTTATACATTTACACAGGCAGACCTCTGAGCGATGGCAGGGTCGGATCCAGGCAACAGCAGCTAAGTGAGTACTGCAATAAAGCAGGTCACATGGATTTCTCAGTTTTCCAGTGCATATAAAAGTTATGTTTATATTATTATTGTTGTTTAGTTGCTCAGTCATGTCTGACTATTTGTGACCCCATGGACTGCAGCACGCCAGGGTTCCCTGTCCTTCACCCTCTCCCAGAGTTCACTAAAACTCATGTCCATTGAGTCAGTGATGCCATCCACCCATCTCATCCTCTGTTGCCCACTTCTCCTCCTGCCCTCAGTCTTTCCCAGCATCAGGGTCTTTTCCTGTGAGTTGGCTCTTCCCATCAGGTGGCCAAAGTACTGGAGTTTCAGCTTGACCATCAGTCCTTCCAATAAATATTCAGCATTGATTTCCTTTAGGATTGACTGGTTTGATCTCCTTACTGTCCAAGGGAGTCTCAAGAGTCTTCTCTAACACCACAGTTTAAAGCATGAATTCTTTGGTGCTCAGCCTTCTTTATGGTCCAGTTCTCACATCCATATATGACTACTGGAAAAACCATAGCTTTGACTAGATGGACCTTTGTTGGCAAAGTGATGTCTGCTTTTTAATAAGCTGTCGAGGTTGGTCAAAGCTCTTCTAAGGAGCAACTGTCTTTTAATTTCGTGGCTTCAGTCACCACCCTGATTTTGGAGCCCAAGAAAATGAAACCTGACATTGTTTCCACATATTTTTCCCATCTATTTGCCATGAAGTGATAAGACCAGATATAGTCTATTAAGTGTGCAATAGCATTTTATCTAAAAAAAAAAGTGCATAATTAAAAGATAATGCTGAGAGCGAGTTCAGACTGGCGGCGGCGGTGAGGGCGCTTCTCCTGCTAAGCCCTTTTGCCAGCCGGCGGGTAGCGCTTCTGCTCCCACGGCGGCCGAGAAGCCTTTTTGCAGGTACCCCAGGTCCCGCATGGGTAGGGACTGGAAAGCCGCTGTAGGGGGAGCACCAGGCCCGGGCAGAGTGCGGGTTCGCGCAGCAAGTGAGCGCCGAGGTCGTGAGATGGGTCCGAGTGAACCGGAGGCCCAGAAAACAGAAAAGGACAGAGGAGTGTTTGAGAAGCTTCTTCCAGACCAGCTGGTCTTGCTTCTGGAGCATCTCTTGGAGCAGAAGACTGTGACTCTGCGAACTCTGCAAAGCCTTGAGAGGACGTACCACCTCTCGGAGCAGGATGCCGAGGTTCGCATCGCTGGTGTGAACTCATTGTTAAGCACAAATACACAAAAGTGTACAGAGACGTGGAGAGGTTCCTTCAGGAGAATCAGGCCATGGGCATCTACCTCTATGGGGAGCTGATGCTGAGTGAGGATCCGTGGCAGCAGCATCTCGCCCGCAGGTGCCTTGAGCTGAGCAGGGAGCAGATGGACAATCCTCAGCCGAGGTGGTGGCTGAGATGTTATTTTAAAGAGGAAAGATCACAGCGAGAATCTTTTTCATGCATCTGCTCGTAGCCCTGGTGGGCCCAGGCTTGCATGGACCCTGGACATCAAAGGAAGAGCGATGGGGCTGCTGAACCCAGCAGTCAGTGGCCGCCTGCGCCTTGTGGGGTGACCTACCCAAAGGTCCTCACCGCAGAACTTGTGTCAAGAGGCGCACCCTCATCAGCAGTCTCCGTGGGGCTATGTGATGCCTTCGTGCCCATCCTGGATGAACCACCTCAAGATCCTGAATGTTAATTGAGTTTCCCCTTTGAGTTAAGTCAGTTCTTCCACTCAAACACGGAAGGTCCCTGAGGCACATGGTAAAACCCACTGCACCTTCTCCACCCATCCCTCAGCGTGTGGATCTGCATTTCCGCACTCCGAGAAAGCCAGAGCTTGTCTACTAGGCCCAAGGAGCTGCTGCCCACCTATTCAGAATTACATTGATATGTCCATTATTTAGATTTTCCAAAGTTTTAGTAACTTTTGGTAGAAGTGCAGGATAAGATTTTTTAAGATTTGTTGATAATATAATGTATTCATGTTTTTTTTTCTTCTTCCTGTTTACTTCTGAATTTAACACTTAAAAAAAAGAGAGAAAAGGGGAAAAAAAAAAAAGATAATGCTGCTGGGGAAACAGTAGCAATAGGGGCTTCCCTGGTGGCTCAGTGGTAAAGAATCCGCCTGCCAATGTAGGAGATGCAAGAGACACAAGTTCAATCCCTGGGTCGGAAGATCCCCTGAAGAAAGGCATGGCAGCCCACTCCAGTATTCTTGCCTGGAGAATCCCATGGACAGAGGAGCCTGGAGGGCTAGAGTCCATGGGGTCGCAAACAGTCGGACGTGACTGAGCACACACACACATGCCTATGCAGACTTGTTTAACACAGGGTTGTCACACACCTTCAACTTGTAAAAACAAAACAAACACACACACACTATCTGTGACGCACAATAAAGATGAGGTATGCCCATTATTGGCAAAAACCAAATGGCCTTCCTCCACAGTTTTCAATCAAAAAGATCTGCCTCGGCTCAAAGGTCCACAACAAAGATCTGGACCTTGGAAACCTGGCAGAGGCCAGGGGCTGGGAGGAGCTGCCAAGGGTTGGGCCAGCCCCTGTAAACAGGGCCCTGTGGGGCAACGCCGGCTGTGAGCTCAGGCGTCTCGCATTGGCAGCGCAGGCATGGGCAGGACAGCGCCACAGGCACCTGCACTGGCGCCTCCCAGGGAGGCTGCCTGCCCCGCGGCCTCGGCTCTCAGCCGGAACCCACGCCGCTCCCCTCCACAGACGCGGAGAGCTGGGCCTGCCCCAGGCCTGCACACCTCTGAACACCGAGGCTTTGGCCCGGTCCTTCCCCCTTCCTGGACCCCCTGCCCACCCATCCCCAGCTCCCAAACCCTGCAGGCGATGCCTCCCCACCCACCCAGCCTGACCGCTCCTTACCCGCTCTGCCAGCACCCAGGGCCAAGACCCCCACCCGAATCACCGCAAAGCCCTGGCTGGCCTCCTCCTTTGTGCCGGGCCATCGCCCCCTGCCCCCTGCCCCCTGCCCACAGCCAGCCCCTCCCGCTCCCCCAGGCAGAGCCAGGCCTCACAGTCCACCCGCCCACCCTGAGCAGATGACAGCACCAGGCATGAGTGCGGACGGGGTCAGACTACTGCCCGTTTTACTCACTGCTGGGCAGGGGCCCATGGGGGATTCTTAAAAAGCCCTTCTGAATGCAAACAAAGTTTAAAGTTTGCTCAGAAAACCCTTCATGTTGGCTTAAGAGAAGTAAGTGACAAGGAGCGCCTCTCTCTCCTCTTCCTGCAAACTCTACCTGTACCTGGGTCCCTGGTTGGAGCAGGACACCCTTTTAATCCTAGAGGGAGAAGCCTTGCCTTGGAAGGGCACGGGGGGACTGGGCACACCTCCCAGCTGGGAAAAGCCAAAATGCTGAGCCTAAACTGGCGAGGCCACAACCCTGAGGTTCCTCCACCCCAAGTTACCACTGAGATCAGACCCAGTGCCATGCCTGGCTTCTGGACTCTGAGTGACATGGGTTCGAGCTCTACTACTGTCCATAACTGTTAGGACCTTGAGCAGCTCAGCCTCGGCCTGCTCTTGCAGCGACAGGGGCAGGCGCGTGGCCCACCATCGAGCCAGGCACTGCAGAGGGCCCCGAAGGGTCCGTTGCCCGTTAGTGCCCCGAGAGGCTGGCCAGGACCTGGCCTGCCCTGCCCTTTCAGCAGCGCCTTCAGGGACAGCAAACAATGACCTCTGCTCTGCTCTGAGTGGCCAGGGCCCCCGAGAGGAGGCCCCTGCTCAGCCTGACCGGACTGACAGACGGCTGCGTTCCCCACCCTGCCGCCCCACCTGACCCCGACCCACCATGCTGCAGATGGACCTGGCGTCCTCGGAGAACTTCTCAGAGTACTGCTCCGCCTCTCGCTTCACTCTCCGCTCCACCTCCTCACGCTTAACCTTCTCTTTGTATTTTTTGAACGGAGAACGTCCCTCAATCATCTCGTATATCAGACAGCCGAGCCCCCACCAGTCAGGACTGAATGTGTAGCTCTCAGAGTTGATAACTTCTGGAGCTACACAACAAATATAGGAAATTTAAGTTAAATTTCCTTGTGCTGAATGGCAAACAACTGCAAAAACCACTACAATATTGTAAAGTAATTAGCCTCCAACTAATAAAAATAAATGAAAGAAAAAAAATAAAGTTAATGTCTGTTTCTATACGATGAACCCTGGAAACGGGAAGCTAACAAGGCAGACACAAAAGGCCAGACAGTGTGTGATTCCACTCAGATGAGGCAGAACAGACAAGTCCGTGGAGACGGAAAGTCCATTAGTGGCTGCAAGGCTGGCAGGGAAGATGAGGAGCTGGGGTAACTGCTAGTGGGTGCACGGCGTCTTTTCTGAGGGGATGAGAAGGTTCTGAAATCAGGGTTGATAGCTGCACAGCTCTGCCTATGCTGAGACCCCCTGGACAGTACACTTCAGACGGGCAGACTGCATCCAGTGGACACGACCGTGCTTCTACCTCAGGGAGCACTGGTTTGACTCCTGATTGAGAACTAAGATCCCACACGCTGCTGTGGAACGGCCAAAATGAACATTCATGGATTTTATGGTATGTGAATTGTATTTCAGCAAAGCTGTTATCAGAAACAGTTCCCACTGTTCAGAGTATGAAGTGAACCTGCAGAGTAACTACCGTGGCAAACGGTGCTCTGTGGGAGGACCGCCCCCCATCAGGCAGAGCCAGGCCCCCAGGCTAACGCCCCAGCAGCCACAGTGGGCGGGGAGGTCAGTGCAAGACGCAGCAGGGGCCCCCAGCTCACTCGTATCGGGGGCCCCCTGCTCAGGCAGAGTCCGGCGGGCCCTGCTCGGAGCTGACCCAAGGCCTGGCCTCCGGTTCACGAAGCCTTTGGAATGACTTGGTTACCTTCAGGACGGGTGTGTGAAGCCAGCGAGGACAGCGAGGAGGCCACTGTCCTGTCCTGGCTCTGCCCCAGACGATAAGGGAGGGTGGGGGCGGGTACAGACCTCAGATACCACCACGCTACCCCACAGCAGGCTAGGATGACCCCAGGACCCTCCACACGGTCAGTTCTCTGCATCCTGAGGCCGGGAGTGCGGGGAGAACTGGGAGGCAGGTCACGTACCCATGTAGCCCAGCGTTCCAACTCTTCCATTGATCTTCTCCCCTTCTGGGACCTCCAAGGCCAAACCAAGATCTGAAATCCGGATGTGTCCTGCATGCGGCCAAACACAGGACACAAATCACGGGGGCCAGCTGACACTTGGATAATAAATAATGGAAAAAAATCTAAAACACATGGATGGAAGTTACAGCAATGCATACTTGGAAACATTTACATCTAAAATTACATGACGCTTGTTCCTTGGAAGAAAAGCTATGACAAACCTAGACAGCATATTAGAAAGCAGAGACATCACTTTGCTGACAAAGGTCCAGATAATTAAAGCAATGGTTTTTCCAGTAGTCATGTATGGATGTGAGAGCTGGACCATAAAGAAGGCTGAGTGCTTAAGAATTGATGCTTTTGAACTATGGTGTTGGAGAAGACTCTTGAGAGTCCCTTGGACAACAAGGAGATCCAACCAGTCCATCCTGAAGATCAGCCTTGAATATTCATTGAAAGGACTGATGCTGAAGCTGAAGCTCCACTACTGTGGCCACCTGATGCAAAGAACTGACTCACTGGAAAAGACTGATTGCTGGGAAAAATTGAAGGCAGGAGGAGAAGGGCACAACAGAGATGAGATGGTTGGGTAGCATCACTGACTCGATGGACATGACTTTGAGCAAGTTCCAGGAGTTGGTGAAGGGCAGGGAAGCCTGGTGTGCCACAGTCCGTGGGGTCGCAAAGAGTTAGACACAACTTAGGAACTCAACAACGACAACAACTATAGAAGATACAAACATAATGCAGTTTTCTTTGTCAACTCAACTACCAGCTTAATTTCATAAACCAAACCCCCCTTAAAGTTTGCAAAACAAACTGCTTCCATATTCAGAATGGACAAATGGTAAATGTAGCTTGAAATGTAGGCGAATAGACAACAGCTTTTTTTTTAACCCTAAATTCAATACAAATATCAAGTTCTACTTTACACATGAAAACGGAAAGCCTAACAAGCTGTCTATAATGGAAATGAAGAAGTACTTGAGGACAATCCTATTCCTCTTATGGTCTGGCTTACTGGTAGAAAATGAGTTCTTGAGAATTTTAATTCCATGACAGTAAAAATGCTAAAGTCAATTGCATGTTTTAAGTCTGAGAAACTAAAGTATAGGTAGAATTACATTTTAAAAAATTAGAAGAATAGGAAAACACAAAGAAAAGATTTAAAGTCTCCTGAAATCAAGACAAGCACAACAAAGCTTTGTCACTTCTTTCTATTCTTAATGGGAATGGGACCTGACCCCTGGTGTATAAAGAACGAGTGACACAGTGACTGCCACAGAAATGATGCTGGCTGCCTGCATTTGGGCAGGACGAGGCAGGTCTACACCACTCCTGGCCACAGCTGGGAGCCACAGGACCAGTCAGGATGGACAAAACGTCTGAGCGGGAGACGCACACCAAGGCGCTCTGCTGGGACAGCAGGTGTTTCCCTCAGGAGCACCGGCAAAGCCCGGTCAAGCCAGACACTGGCCACCGGGAGCGGGGGACGCACGGAGGCTCCCAGTGGCTCCTGCCTGGACGCCGGCCAAAGCTGGGCGCAGCGGGGCCCAAGAGGGGAGGCGTGGGAACCCCTGGTGGCTGCCACGGGGACACTCGTGCAGAGCCCAGGGGAGAGCCCTCACGGGAGGCGCGCTTCCTCCGGGGTCTGTCGGGAGCCAGAACCGGCCACCCAGGCGAGGGCAGCATGATCTGCCCAAGGAGGGCTCACTGCAGGAGTGACAGATGTGTTTAACACTGGAAAACCAACTGATGGATTAACCATAAAAAAAAACACATAACATATAGTCATTTTGGGAGAAAACGCACTGACAAAATTCAAGTGCCATTTTTCAAAAAGAAAAAATTCTTAAACATTAATTTCTATGAAAGTACTACAGCATGGATTTCCCTGGTGGTCCAGTGGCTAAGACTTCACACTCCCCTGTATTGATTCCATCCCTGGTTTGGGAAACTGGATCCCACATGATGTGACTAAAGACCCCACGGGATGCAACTATTAATACAAGATCCATGTGCTGCAACAAAGACCCGCCACAGACACACAAACATTTAAGTACCACAGCAGATTCCATACTTCATGGTGATATACCGAAAGGCTGTCCCTGAGATCAGAAATAAGGAAAGGACTCCTGCTGCTACAACTTCTAGTAAACCCTGGGCTGAATGGCCCACCTGGTGCCCCGAGGCAACAAGCAGAAACCAAAGGGTCGGCAACTGGAGAGGCAGACAGAGAGCGGTCATCTGCCAGAGGCAGGAGGGCGCATGCGGAAGTGCAGCAAGCCTACAACCTTCCAGAATCCAGGAACTGTACCATGGTCACAGCCACAAAATCAACTGTAACTATAACTGAAAGCACAAACCATGAAAGGAAAAATTAGAAGATGACTTCATTAACTTAAAAACCTTAACATTTTATAAAGGACTGGCATAAAAAACATACAAAGAACTCTTAAAACTCAACAATAAGGAAAAGAAACAATTAAAAATGAGCAGAAGACCTGAAAAGACACATTACCAAAGAAGATAAACAGGTGGCAAGTGAGCCCATGAGAAGCGTCATCAGGGAAATGCAAATCAAACAAGAGCCCAGGCCGCACCTGTGAGCACGCCAGAGCACAGAGGGCGTGGACTCACACCGCTGAGAATAAAGCAAGGCGAACCAGGAGAAAGAGGAGCAGGAGAGGAGACGCTGCTCTTACTGCGAGTCGGACTGAAAATGGGAAGCGCCTCTGCTTCCTGCCTAGACACAGGGGGACGACGGGGAGGCCCCGTTTCTGTTTCTAGGAGGGCGCACACCCAGGGCGTCGCCTGCTGCTGACCCCTGGCGGCACTAGGTGGTAGGTCCGCCCTGACTTCCCGCGAGTCCCTCTGAACAAAGTCTACGGGCGGCGGGAGAGGCTCGCTCACCGTGATCATCGAGGAGAATGTTCTCGGGCTTTAAGTCCCTGCAAGGGAAGGAAACAACAGCACAAAGTCAGTGATTTGGGGCGCCACACTGGACTCCATCGGTTCCAGCAGGAAGACCGCAGACAGTTCCGCGCTCTGAGCGGCGGCGGGCCGGCAGGTAACGGCGCCTCCGTCTGCAGGTCCGAGGGAGCCCGCGTGTTGCCACAGGCTCCAGTGGCCAAGAGGAGGAGGGGGCGGCTCTACAGACGGCGGGTTTCGCAGGAGACGATCCAGCCGTGAAACGTCAGCCCGGCGGTGAGGAGTCAGTCCTTGACGAACTCGGCTCCATTTCTCACCATTGACAGACTGTCAGGAATGTCTACGACTGGAAATCCCCCTTATGAGAGGAGTTCCGTTTCAGGGTCAGATCCTGGCTCTGCCCGCCATCAGCAACGTGGCCTCCCCGTCCTCACCTCGATGGGCCCATGCGCAGCGCCTGCTTCCAGCGCTGGGCAGCATCCAGGGAGGCCAGGCCTTGTGGCAGGAGCGTGTGACCCACGGCACTAACCGTTTATCACAGTTCACTGCCAACTAGGGCAATGCCACGAACTTCAAACACATGTGTGTGTCACCAAAGACTAAAATATCTAAATGTGGTATCTCAAGCTACTTGTGTTTTTCCCTTAGCAAGAAAAAAAACCCTAGTTTTCAGAGGATTCTGACTTCACGTGTGGTCCTGTCACACTGACCCATCTCACTCAGCACGGCCCCTCCATCTGGAGCCATGCCTCCAGAACCTGCAGAGGAGACCGAGGTCAGCAGAACGGAGCCGCCGTTCCGAGGGGCTGGGCCCAGGAGAGCCCCGCAGGACCCGGTGCCAGCTCCGGGGGCGGGGCCCGCAGATGCTGAAGTGCCCTGGGGTCGAAACCACAGGCCCAGAAGAGGCCAGAAGGGGCACCTGGGCGTGGGGCTCTGCGCAGACACCCTTCCCGGGACGACGCCCCGACACTGGCGCTGGTCTCCCTGGGGGCAGAGGGGGGAACTGGCGCCCTCTGCCTGCCTGCCCAGCCACGGGCAGTCTGGTTGTTCCTCTGTATTTAAAGAGTCCTGGTAAATGCTGTCGACTAGGTAACCCTCCTTGACACGGACGTTCACAGGCACAGCCACAGGCACATGACAGCCGCCCGCCTGCCTCACCTCAAACGCCTCACCAGGCACCCTGAAGCCCCACTGCTCCAGGCAAGGCCAGCACTGCTCCAGGGCAGCCAACCCAGGGCCCAGCCAGAGACCCACCGGCTTCTGGCCACCTCCTTGCCTGGTGTGAGAAGCTGCCCTAAAACACTCCCACCACCTCTGCACTCAGCTGTCAATCAACCACCAGTCACCTGCTCCAAAAGGAGACACGCAGTATATACTGTACAAAATAATAACAAGAGTAGCAGTAACAATGGGCTTCCCAGTGGCGCTAGTGGTGAAGAACCTGCCTGCCAATGCAGGAGAGGCGGGTTCAGTCCCTGGGTTGGGAAGATCCCCTGGAGGAGAGCACGGCAACCCACTCCAGCATTCTCACCGGACAACCCCACGGATAGAGGAGCCTGGTGGGATACAGTCCGTGGGTCTCGAAGAGTTGGACACGGCTGAGTGACAGAGCACAGCAGTCACACCATCAGCACCTCCTTCGGTGTGCTCACCGGGTACCAAGGCATGTGCTTAAGCATTTTGCACATGTCTCCTGGGACAATCACAGCATCTCTGGAGGCTGTTTAGACACTCTTGGGGTGTAGGTGCCACACTTAGGGTGCAGCCATGTCACTGGATCACTTGGATGCCAGGCGACAGGCTGGGACCAACGCCAAAGCATCGTGCCCACACCCTGATCTGCCCCACACCCTGGGCATCTGCCAGGGCAGAGCGCCGCAGCTCAGGTTACAAAGTGCTATCCTCTCTAGCGCCTTCCCTCAAAAACCACTTCCCCAGGGAGCAGCCTGTGGCCCAGTGGCTAAGACTTCCACACAGGGGCCCTGAGGCTCCATCCCTGGGAGGGAAACAGACCCCACACACATCCAATGACCCTGCCTTCCACTGCTGAGGCCTGGCACAGACAAAACACGTAAAAAACGAACATTCAAAAGTTTAAAAAGCCCGTCCTGTGTGCCTCTTCTTTTCTGACTTTGGAGCTGCTAAAATAGGAGAGCATTTTAATTTGTACCACCTCTGTGCAAAGAGGGGAGAAGGCAATGGCACCCCACTCCAATACTCTTGCCTGGAGAACCCCAGGGACGGGGGAGCTGGTGGGCTGCCGTCTTTGGGGTCGCACAGAGTCGCACACGACTGAAGCGACTGAGCAGCAGCAGCAGCGGTGCAGAGAGGAAGACCCTCTCTCTAGGACCTGGTTTGATGAGACCTGTCAGTGGTGGTCTCTGAGGAAAGGTAAGAGGGCAGGGACCTTCCCCGTGAAGGGCCTTGGAGGCGGGATGGACTGTCAGAGCCCGAAGGTCATGGCTGGTTCACCCAAAAGACGCTTGGGGGCGCCTCCTGATGGCAGGTGTCGGGGACGCAGTGGGCACGAGGCAGACCTGCTCAGCCAGAGGGCATGTGGGAGCCCAGGGCAGAAGGCTGGGGAGCGGAACCTTCTGACCAGTGCAGGGAGTGCATCTCAACACCAGAAGCAGGCCAAGGCAGCTCGGCCGGATTTAACTGTACCAAGCTCACTTCCTCCAGCAGCCACGTAGGAATCAGAGCTCCTCCAGGCCCCCTGTAAGTCCCAGAGCAGCAGCCCGCGCCCCCACCTTCTGCACAACTCATGGTGGGTGGGACCGTCATCCATCAGCCCAGCTTGCTTGGAGCTGATCCTCAGGAAATACTCAACTTGGCTCTGGGCCATGAAAGATAAAGAAGAAAAATCACATCAGAACTGGGATGGAGAGGAGGAAGGTCTTCAAGGAAGCTGGTCAGCCAGGGGGACTGGCCCCAGGGGTGGGCAACATGGAGCACTCTGAGGACCAGCCAGGGGAAGGGGCTTCTAGGAACTGCCCGTCTGTGCACTAATTCCGCATGACAGCGGGAGGAGCCTGGGAAGAAAGGCCTCCGAGAGGGCAGATGCATGAGCAGGGCAGGAAAGACAGGAGGACGCCCAACAAGCTCCAGCAGAGCAAGCCCATCTGAGGAGGACCTACGGAGTGACCTCAGCCACTGACCACGGAGAATAGAGAGGAATCGTAGAAACATGTAGGACTGATTTGGGAACCAGGCTCAGGGAGGAGGTGGGCTAGAGCGGGAGGGGCAGGCAGAGCCCTGGGGGCTGAGAAGGCCAGCGGACGCACCCACTCGGAGACGCGTGCACACGGCCCGCAGGTGGGCGCACTGGGCTGAACACAGGCAGCGGCCTGGGGGTGCCCTGAAGCGTCAGCGCCCAGGGCACCAGCTTCTACAGGTGGCGGAGGGACCACTGTCCCTAAAACCGAGCTTCATTCATCACACAAATCTAACTCTATCTACGGCATTTAATTTTCTCTACTGAATTCTAAGATGAAAACAGTATTAAATAGGTACAATTATTTCAGAATATTTGTTATTTTGTTGGAACATCGTCCCCAGTCCTCAGTGGAACTGTCAGAATGTCTAAGAACCTTGGAAACGGGTTCCTCTCGTGCTTGTGAGCAGCATGACCAACTTAAATGAAAAGTACTTACCAGAAATAGAAGAGAACTAAAAAGAAACCCAAGGTCTGCCCCGGATCGGCCATACTTCCAGCACGGTGACGGCGCAGCAGGGCCGGGGCTCCCCACTGGCCCCCCCGCCCCCGCCCCCGAGTGGCCCCGGGGCCCTGCGCGCCTACCTGTATACGATGCGCTCCCGCTGCAAATCCTCCAGGCCACAGCACAGCTCGGCCGCGTAGAAGATGGCTCTCTGCTCCTCGAAGCCGGGGTCGCCCAGGTTGTAAATGTGAAACTTCAGGTCCCCTCCGTTCATAATGGTTAGCACCAAGCACAAGGACTTTTTGGTTTGGTATGTGTAACATAAACTAACCTGAGGACAGCAGCACGGCAGGAAACAAAATGCAAGAACCTGCTCGTTCACTGGCGATGTACTCTATTTGCAAGCAATAATGAGAACACCAAAATGCTGCCTGCTTTGGGGGAGAAGTACACCGTGCACCATCTCAAACCTCTACCTGACGAAGAATCTAACAGCTGCCCGGCGTTGAAAGCAGAGCACTTCCTAAGTGCGTGCGTGCTCGGTCGCGTCCAACCCTGTGAGCCCATGGCCTGTAGGCCGCCCGGCTACTCTGTCCACAGAATGTCCCAGGCAAGAACACTGGAGTGGGTTGTCATTTCCTTCTCCAGGGGATCGTCCCCACCCAGGGATCAAATTTGAGTCTCCCACGTCTCCTGCAGCGGCCAGTGGATTCTTTGCCGCTGAGCCCCTGGGGAAGCCATGTCTAAGCAAGCAGGCACCAACCTTCACAAAGAACCTGGCGTGGCGCCCCTGGAAGCTACATCCTAATTGTTGGGCGCCGGCACTCCGCACTCGCAGACTGTCTGCGTTCAGCGTGGAAGTCAGACGCCTCCGGCAGTGCAGGAGGGGTCCAGAGCCGCTCGATTCTTCCAGCATTTGTGCCACCAGTCACACCCTGAAGGTGCGGGTCTCTCCTGTGGTCTCACGTCTGGCACCTCTGTTATGTGCACACATGGGGTATGCGTCCCAGATGTGCCCATATACTGATTTTGTGAGCCTCTCTCGTGAAGTGCCTGTTCAAGCTCTTCACCCCCTTTCCTGGGGGTTTGCACGTCAGTTTACACCCATGAGTACACACACACATGCCCTTCTGGGATTCTGGCTGGGGCTGCATTTCACTCATCTTACTGCCATCACAGCCCTGAGGCTCCCAGTCTATGAACAGGGCACCCCCACTGTTTGGATAGGGCATCTTTAAGTTTTCGTAAATAGTGTTTTACAGTTTCCAGTGTAGAAGTCTTGCACATTTCATTGGATTTTTGCCTAGATTCTGATGTTTCTTAATGCAATTGTAAATGGTTTCAACTGAAGTTTTTCAAACTGTTTTCTAATTGGTGCCATATCTAATAACCTGGCCAAATTCTCAACCAGTTATCTAGAGAGTCTTGGACTGCCTATACACACAGTCATGTTGTGGTGGGGGGTTGGGGAGGGGCTGTGGGGAGGAGAAGGAGATGAACTCGACAGAAGTACCAGTCAGGACCCCCTCAGACGGGCCATAAGCAGGAAGTAAGGAAGAGAATCAAGGGCAAAGGAAAGTATTTCCAGGATCCTGGCGAGAGGCCAGGAGTACAGAAACCAAAATATTGTATTTCAGTAGAATAAACCATAACTATTATCTATGTCCCTTTCACAGTGCTAGACTAGATTTTGGGGTTTGGAGGTAGTTACACAAATATGTTTAAAGCGACTCTAAGATGAGCCCGTTTTATCAAAGGTTTGTACATGTACATAGGTTGTAAAGCATGTACATAGGCTGACATGTCACACACGTAAACCCTTGCTATTAAACGAGGCGACAGCTCTGAAGGCCTGTCTGTCTTGGAAGCTTTGTGCCAGCACAATGCCGCTGACCTCAAAACTGAGAAGTGAATGACACCATGCAGCCTTCTGTAAGCTGCCTTTCCCTCTCTTCCTTAAACATGTGATTAGGTGGAGGAAGCAGCTGTGGAGATGAAAACCCCGCTACTTAACGCACAGCCTGGACCCAGGACCCCTGGGCTCAGCCCTGACCACACACAGGGAGGTGTGTGAGTCAGGCCTCACACACCTGGGCTCGCTGGCTGAGGGCGAGTAATGACCCAGAAAGAGGGCGGATGCAGGCACGGACGAGGCCCGAGTGAGGGGTTGGGCAGAGAAGCATCTTCAAGCCTCTCACCCATCTGGGGCCTCAGCCAAGCACAGCATGAGCCCACCTGCTGATGTCCCCAGAAGGCAGAGGGTCGGCGCCAGACCGGGGGGTGGGGACAGGGACAGACTCATCACAAACCGCCAGTCTGTGCCCAGGGGGGCGGGCAGGACAGTGGAGGGCTGCTCCTGCAGTGCTCCCCGCCAGCGGCCGGGCAGCGAACCCCGCACACGCTTGGCTAGGACGGGCTTGTGTCCAGCGGCAGGCGCACTGGACAAAGGCCACTTGCCCAGCTCCCCATCCCCGGGAGGACAGAGGAGATACTTACTACAAACCTACTGTGCACTTTCTCTAGGATCCTCTTCTCGTTTAGGGCCATGGCCTCCCCCTTCCTCCTCTTTATCCTTTTCTTCTCTAGCTTCTTACAGGCGTACATTTTTCCTGTAGCTCGCACTTGACAGGCACAAACCTAGTTTTTGGAAAAAAAACAATAGTTCATATCCACTCGGCAGTTCTCAGGCTACCAAGAGAAAAGCGTGTTCTCCATGGCAACTCCCTCTGGTCAAGAGCAGCATGGACTCTGTGGCCAAGACCACAGCCATCACGGCCGAGGCTGGGTCCCCATGGGCACTGCCCTCTGACCCTCGGGTCCTTGTTTAAGAAGGGAGCTTATGAACCGAGCACAGTGATGGCAGAACTTGCTCTGTGAGATCCTGCTGCATCTGCTTAAATATGTCTTCCTGTGTCTTTCTACTTTCTGTACAAGAATGAAAGTTTTTGACAGTAAATATTCTTGATTACTTTTAAAATTCAAGAATACGTGTATTTCATAGAATCCATAGACTTTCATACCTTTATTTTACTTAATTAGTTCTTAAAGTAATATTTATATGTCACTTCACATCATGAAAACTTCCAAACAAAGGTAAGCGAGAGAGCAGTGCAGTGAGGCTCCCGGCTGCCAGCCTTCCCTGGTGGCTCAGTGGTAAAGATCTATTTTGCCGATGCAGGAGCTCTAGGAGACATGGATTCGACCCCTGGGTCAGGAAGACCCCCTGGAGGAGGAAGTAGCAACCCACTCCAGCACTCTTGCCTGGAAAATCCCACGGACAGAGGAGCCTGGCGGGCTACAGTCCATGCAGTTGCAGAGTTGGACACAGCTGAGCAACTGAACAACAACCACCAGCCTTCCAGCTTCCAGGCTATCTACACAGGCTGTCAGGGTTCCGCTGACTGCCACCCACCCCACACCCCAGACACATACGCCCCACATCTGCACACACACATGCCACACACATGTGCACAGAGGATTACTTAATTTTTTTAATTTTAACTAAATTAATTTTACATATTTATTTATTTGGCTCTGCTGGCTCTTAGCTACAGCATGTGGGATCTCTGTTGCATCATGCAGGATCTTGAGGTGGGACATATGAAATCCAGTTCCCTGGCCAGGGATTGAACCTGGACCCGCTGCATTGGGAGCACCGAGTCTTAGCCTTGGACTACCAGGGAAGTCCCCCAGAGGATCACTTTAAAAGCAAATATAAGACATGATACAACTGTATCCATCAACCCAAATAATTCTGATGGTAAAAGATAAACCTCATTGCGGAAAATATTGAAAATATTAATAAAGACAATGATAAAACACCCAAATTCTAAGATAACTATCACTGATACTGCACTGCATAAGCTTCAAAGTGCCCCCTTTATACATATATATGCAAGGATATATAGCTTGCTCCCCCACAACCTCTGGCTTTTAGGGGAAATTGGGCTTATGTTACAGAACAGATAATAATTTATATTCTTTTTTCATCTTACTGTGTCACTATCTTCTCATCATTAAACGTCCTACAAATATGTGACTATTCCTAAACGCATTTCATCATTTTCCGACCACGAAGCATCGGCACATAGTCTTCGCACATCTCTTATCATGCACTGAAGACAGATTTCTTCCAGTGGAGTTGCCAAGTCGGAGGGCGAGACGGGAGAAGAGGTGGGGTGCCAGGCACTGCAGCCGCTCAGCTGCTCCTCACGGCGATAGTGAAGCAGGGCTCACGACCCCTCTGCAGGAGGAGACCACGGCAGGCTCCCTGATCGCACAGCTGGAAGCTGAGGTGCAGCAGCTTGACCTCAGGGTGTGTGGGTCCCAAGGACGTGCTCTCTACACCGTCTGCCATGCAGGCAGGGATGCTCGCCCGGCCCCTGTCCACTGGGCCGGGCTCAGAACCCGCCAGGGCTGCCTGGAGGACTCAGGGCTGATGTGAAAGCACTGCTGTTGACCAAATGAGACCAAAATGTTGGCCGTTCACACCTCCAGGAGAGGCGCCAGCATTTGGCAAAGGTAAACACACTACTGGCATTTGGACTGAAAGGGCCCCAGGCGTCTGCCTTAGTCACAGGGTTCTAACTGGCATTCTCGAGAGAAATGGACAGTTCACTGACTCCCGCCCAATGCCTGATGCAGCGCAGCACTCCCAGAACACGTCTGTGAAAAGCCACAGCCGTTTATTTGTCCTCCCAGCCGTTTGTCGGGAGCACAAGTCTATGTGTTAAAAAAGTGCTGTATAAGATCATATGCATACCGAGTCTTTTCACGACAGTGAAAACTTGCCAACATGTTCCTGCTGAGTCCATTGTTAAGACCTCTGTGTGGCCAGACCAGGGGCTTCACTGCTTTGTAGACACAAGAGCCGGGTGCTGGAAGCTTCCTTCCTCTGCTCCTCACGAAGTCCGAGCTCTGTCCCTGGAGGCAGTGTGGGACAGGCGGCATGGACCGAGCGCTCTGGAGGCACATCAGGAGACGGACTCCTCGCAGACGCAGACGCGTCTCCTGCAGAGGGCCTGCCATGCCGCGGTGGGGCTCGCAGAGCACCAGGCGGCCTCCAGGACCTCAGCGGTCACCCTGCGGGCTCTCCTAAGGCTGGCATGCCGACCAGTCCCTCTCGCAGTCACTGCAAGTGGTGACAGGAGGCGCCAGCGGTGTGACTGCTCCCAGGCAGGCGCTGGCCATGGTTCTGGACTGGAATTTGGGAGCACACACCATGCAAATCGCAAGCAGACGGTGTGCCCAGCTCTGACGCGGCTCGCCCAGCTCTGGGACTTAGCAAGGCTTGAACTCAAACGACCGCTCCACACACTCAGCAGGGCCGTTAGCATCTCCTTCAGCTGCAGCACAGGGCGTGACAGGACCCTGCCCCTACCACACCGTCTCCAACCCCATTTAAAGACCGTCTCTCGTGAACTCATGGGGAGTGTCTTTAGGATTTTCCCCAATTTCCATATTTTCTAACACCTTTCGAAGTAGGTGTAAGGTACATACACATCCTTATTAAATAAGTTAAATAAGCATATTCAATAATATTTAATAAAATTTAGTAATATACCCTGTACTATGTGCACTTCTAGGCTAGTCCTCAGTTATGAGAATGGAATGTCAGAAACTCCACGATATGGAAACAGAATAATCTTTTCAGTTGGGACAACCTTACTAAACTTGAACATTGATCACATGAGAAAACAACCTCTTTAAGAACTAAGAACTGACATGTAAAATCACAAAGATAGTGAATCATTCTCCCCACTGGATCTCTGAATTTTTTAAAAGTGTGTACCTTTTGCTCAAAGTTCAATCTTAATTCTTGTGGCTGCTAAAAGTATCCCTAAAATACACAGTAAAGAAATAACTGTATTGGTAGAGTCGAGACGCTACCTGAAGACCACGCCTTTCCAGAAGTACTGCTCACAGCTGTCAGGTTCGACTTACCTCTCCAAACCCGCCTTTCCCCAGGACTCTGTAGTGCCTAAATGTGCTCTTTGTCACTGGTTGCCTAATTAATGACAAGGAAAAAAGAAATCCTCAGCTCTCACATCACATTGCTATTTGGAAAGAGAAAAACCTACCTAGCCCCTGGCCTGGCCTGAGAAGGGGATGCTGGGGAGGGGGCCCACGACCAGCTGCCTGTGCTCAGAGGGGTGGCTCCTCAGTGGGGCGGCTTTTAAGAGACAAGCACGTGAACGTTTAAAACTGTGAAGACTCTGAAGACAGATGCAGAATGACCCTGCTGCCCTCACTGCCTGAACGAAACACACGTCTGTGCCAGCCCCACTCTGAAACCTCTCTGTGGTCTCCTTGGCACAGCTCTCGGGGCCTCTCAGAAGGGTGGTGAGGGAAGTGACATTGACAGGGAGCTGCTCTTTGAAAAAGAACCTCAAAGGCAGTGTTGACACCGTAGCAAAAGAAACCTGTATAAGCTAGAACTGAAATTTAATAAATCAACAATCACTGTAACAACAGCAGCACTGGGGGCAGCTAACAGAGGATGAGATGGTCGGCATCACCGACTCAATGGCCGTGGATCTGAGTAAACTCCCGGAGCTGGTGATGGACGGGGAGGCGTGGCGTGCTGCCGCCGTGCGTGGGGACCTGCACGGCGCGCTCCCCGAGCACCTCTACTGAGCGCCGGGCTCTGCGCTGAGTGTTCTACACCAGCAGTCCAGGCGGTGGTGGCGGCTTAGTCACCAAGTCGTGCCTGACTCTGAGACCCCGTGCACTGGAGCCCACCAGGCTCCTCTTGTCCACAGGACTTCCAAGAATACTGGAGTGGGCTGCTATTTCCTTCTCCAGGGCGTAGGTTCTATTTTACACAAAAGGGACCCAAAGCCCATGCAGGCCACATCACTGCCTGAGGACACACAGCTAGTAGGTCTGGGTAGAGGCTGAGATGGCAAAGACCCGAGCACCACAGCGGATTCTGTTTCTGTGAATCCAGGACATGGTTTACTGTCTCACGACGGCAGCAGCAGGGCTAACTGTCATTTTAACGAGAGAAAACAGAGCCCTCTGGATCAGGAGAAATTGTACAATATTAATAATGAGATTTCCAATGGCATTCTGACATACAGAAAGGTATACATCAGTCAAATGCAGTAATGGAAAAAAAAATGCAGTAATGGAAGTCACGATTCGTTTTCACTAAATGTCAGAGGAGAACATACCTTTCCAGCCATTTCCACTGTAAAAATCGAGAAAAATATGCACTTTCTTGGTATTCTTCAAATGCTTCTTCACTTAAATGGTCATGGACAATTCTAGAAAGAGATTTTATGCAACTATGTACATCTGGCTGCAATACAAAATGAAGACAACTCTGTGATTTAATGCATGAGTGAGTGCTGAATATGAGAAAAATGAATCATTACCCATAATTCAGTATATTGAATTTTGCAATTACAGAATCTCACACTAGTTTCCAATGCTACCAGTGAAAACATGAACGCAAGAATTCAAAGGAAATAAAACCAATTTACCTTCTCAAAATCAGAGGTCCTTTTTAAGTATTAGAATATCAGTGAAGTAATTACTTGATAAAAATAATCTCCCAGTAGAAAAACAATAGTTTAAAACATACTCAAGCTGTGTATGTGTCTGCATGTTCATGTGTGTGCCTGCACTCATGGAAGCACATGCATTTCAGGAGGAAAGGTAAACAGTCTGCAGTTAACATTAGTGTAAATGTACAGATGACAATAGTCATAGGGTAGAAACTGTTAATATGTGATGTCACCTTTTTTTAAATATTAAAAATAAAGCTCTCAAGGACTTCCCTGGTGGTACAGTGGTTAAGAATCTGCCCGCCAACGCAGGGGGCATGGGTTCAACCCCTGGTCCAGGAAGATCCCACACGCTGCAGGGCAACTAAGCCTGTGAGACACAGGGCTGAGCCCACAGGCCGCACTGCTGAAGCTCCAGCGCCTAGAGCCGGTGCTCCGTAACAAGAGAGGCCAGCACCGTGAGAAGCCCGTGTGCCACAATGAAGAGCAGCCCCCTCCCTGCAGCTAGAGAAAGCCCCATGCAGCAAGACCCCGCAGAACCAAAGATAGTAATACAATTAACTGATTAAAGCACTAAGTACATTGTTTCGGAGAAGGCAATGGCAACCCACTCCAGTACTCTCGCCTGGAAAATCCCATGGACGGAGGAGCCTGGTGGGCTGCAGTCCATGGGGTCCGAACAGTTGGACACGACTGAGCGACTTCACTTTCACTTTTCACTTTCATGCATTGGAGAAGGGAACGGCAGCCCACTCCTGTGTTCTTGCCTGGAGAATCCCAGGGACGGCGGAGCCTGGTGGGCTGCTGTCTATGGGGTCGCACAGAGTAAGACACGACTGAAGCGACTTAGCAGCAGCAGCAGCAGCGGTATTGTTTGATGCTATACGTTTCTTGAAGAAATCTTCTGCAGTGAGCCCTGCCTCTTAGGTTTACTGATGACTTTATGATAGTAGGAATACAGTTGGTTCTTGGGGAGTAAGTGAGGGACAGGACATAGACTGCCCTTTACAACAGCGCTGCAGTGGGTCAGCATCTATGGAGCCGACGCTAGGGGGACCATCCACAGGCCGTCCTGATGACTCTGACCTCTCAGTCAAGGAGACAGGTGAGTCGGCGTCCAGCTGGGGGACGGGGGTGGCCAGAGTCCTGCGGCTGCAGCGCACTGACCCCGGGTGGGGAGCGGAGGGGGGCCGCCTGAGCTGACAGAGACGGAGGGAGTCATCCCCCAGGCGTGATGGAGTTGACCTGGGAGTGCCCACGGCCCATCTGGGAGCGCTAGCAGGTCGTGAGTGAGAACGCTGTGAGAATAATCCCAGCACCGCACTGGTTTCAGACTTCTGAGCAAGTCACTTGATTTGCTTCCCTTTATTTTGTAAGAAGAGGTTATTCAGATGTTCCTGGATTGACTGATGTTACAGCACAGCACTTCTCAACTTGTGTTCTGAGGCTCCCTCCTTCCGAGAACCTTGCAAGGGAGTTGGGGCTTCCCTTGTGACTCAGCTGGTAAAGAATCCACCTGCAGTGCAAGAGACCTGGGTTCGATCCCTGGGCTGGGAAGATCCCCTGGAGAAGGGACAGGCTACCCATTCCAGTATTCCAGCCTGGAGAATTCCATGGACTATACAGTCCATGGGGTCGCAAAGAGTTGGACACAACTGAACGACCTGCACTTCAGAGGGAATTCAGTAATGACGCTGTGTTTATAGAAGCACTAAGTCATTCATTACCGTCTTAAAGTTTCATTCTCACGGAAGGGCTTACCAGAGGCCACACGCCAGGGGACCACGTCCCTGCTCTGCAGGACAGCAGAACACCAGTGCCGTCACAACCCACATCAACACAGCTGTCTGTCAGGGTCACTGGGTGCTGAGAGGCCGCCGCTGCAGTCCTAGAACGGAGCCCGTCCTGGAGGCCAGGCCCTCACGCCTCCATGTGTGAGCAGTGGTGGCCCTACCCTGGGGCCCCTGTCCCTGGCGAGCACGTGGGCAGCTCAGCTCCAAATACTTGCGAACCAGTCAGGATTCTAACACTGTCCGCTCAGTTAATCCGCTTTATAAAGGTCCTTAGGTGTCTCCATGAAAGAACACAAACACTGCCTGATTCTAACTTGTTTGTCTATTTCACGGTCTGTATAAATTACTAAGGTCAACGACTAAGCCACCTTCCCAGGATCTCAACTTTACTTCCCAATACTCCTTGCCTCAAAACAACAGACTCTGCGCCACTGCCCTAGTCTGGCACGTGAACCTGCTGCACACAGTTTGTAAGTATCATGACCCTGTAAACTGTGCATCAGCTCAGCACTGGTTTCTGATATGTTCACCTTCACGCTCCCACTAACCATCACGTGCGGGCTCTCACCAGAGCTTCATGTGGGAGCCGTGGAGCAGAGAGGACTCACTTAGCTCACTACACAGGACCAGGATTCTGGGAACCAAAATGAGAAAGGAAGGTTTTGGGGAAATAAAGGCCGTAACAAGACGGGGATGAGGTAGAATAATAAGAACACAAGCTCCTAGAGGCCACACAATGTTGTGCTGCCGTCTCCAGTTATCCGATGCCACGTGCAGCTGATGGTAAATGACAGTTAATAAACATGTAGGAGTGAAGAGCCATCTGTCACATGAACTAATCAAATAGACAGATGCCTGAATACCAACACCTGTTTAAAGATTATCAGCTGTTATGCCTATCTCTTGCAATTTCTGCACAGAGAAGGCAGAATTTCGGACCAGTCTCTCCAGTCATGTGCAACTCCCATGGTTCTCAACTTCAGAACAGAGTTTCAACAGCAGAAGCAGGAAGCAGAAAGAAGGAGCCTCTCTGGGGTGCTCAGACACTCGGCCCTGCTGACGGCCTGCCTGCAAGCTCCTGGCTCCTGGGTCGGCCTCGCGTTGCGGCCACCCCAGGGAGTGCACTCGGGTCCCGACAGGCCAGGGCTCAGGATGCGCGTGTTGAGGGAATGAGTGACACCGGAATGAACGTCTGCTTACAAACAACTCCACGCCTGGGGCCAGGTCACCTCAGCCGCCACTCTTTCCTCCTGAGCACACGAGGAAGCTGAAGTCAGGCGACTGCTCAGACTCGGGATGTTCCTGTCCTGACTGCAAAGGTCTGCAGAAGAGATCTTTGCAGTACATGCTCTATGGGGCTGCTTTCACCCTGGAATGAGCCCTGTGGAAGGCTGCGCAGAGCGGCTGGGCAGGCAGCAAAGCCAAGCTTGTGACCTGGTGCTTCAGGATGTCCCTGAATGTATGGTCGTCACTCCTCATACGCCTGATGGTGGAGGGGACCACCCTGATCCAGAGAGGACACGCCCCCGTGGAGAGGCTGCCGGATCCGGCCCCGGCGGTGTGCACCCACTCACCTGGCACACTCCTCGAAGACGTCTTTGGATGGGTCCTCCCACAGCCTCTGCCTGCACCTGAATACCACGTCTTCGGGTATTTCTGGTAGAGGGGCTGGTGAACCCTTCAGACAGCACAAACCAATCGCGACAGTTAGTGGTTTCATAAATGATCAGCTGAAGACAGAATCAACGCTTACTGACAACAACCACACCGTGAAGTGTATGAAATGACAGGTCAGGGCACCCCCTTCGCCCCCATCAGTCTCGCTTTCCAGAGTGCCGTGTGTCAGCTGCCTCTTCTGACCATTCCTCTGTAGGGCCCCCAAAAGATGCCCATATACCCAAGTTCACAGCATTATTCCCGATAATGGAAACATGGGAACCAAGTTTCCCATGCTGGGAAAGTGTCCAGCAATGGTGGATGGACAAACACAGTGTGGTCCATCCAGACACAGAATATTATTCAGCTTCAAAAAAGAAAGGAATTCTAAGACCTGTTACCAAGTGGAAGAACCTTGAGGACACTATGCTAAGTGACATAAGCCAGTCACAAAAAGAATATACTGTGTGATTCCACTTACATGAGATCCCTAGACTAGTCAGATTCATAGACAGAAAGCAGATGGTAGGGGGCCAGGGGCTGTGGGCAGGGGCAGAGGGAGTTAGTGTTTAATGGGGACAGAACTACAGTTGTGCAAGATGAAAACCACCCAGGAGACAGGTGGTTGTGACGGTGTGCATGCACGTCAGTGTGAATGTACTTTACTGAACTGTACACCTTGAAATGGTTATGATGGGAAATTTGCTTTTTTTAAATTGCAATTAAAATGTAAACACATATACTCAGAAATAGACACATTTCCCCGCCTCACAGAAATGGGATAAATACATGTATAGTCTGGTGAGTACATGCTGACACCCACAGAGCTACCCTGCTTCCTCAATGACTGTATGGCTCCCAGAGGACAGGCTTCTGCCCCCTCAACCATTCCAGGTGCCAGTTCTCTCCACGGCAAACACCACTGCATGAACCTTTTCCACAGTTATGTTTTATAAGGTAGGTTCCTAGAAGGAGAAATACCAGCTCAAAGGATACACACATTTAAAACACTGGCATTTATTGCAAGACTGCTCTGCAAAAAGGCTCTAGAAGTCCACATTCTCACCAACATCCCCACACACCAGCTTCCCACTCTCCTGACCCTCATGCAGAGGATTCTGGGAAAAGAAAACACACAGCAAAACTGCTGTCCTGATTTATTGAAAAAAAAAAAAGAAATACACAGAACACATTCAACTGTACATTGAACCTACTGATTTCTGGCTGTGGGGTAGCTGAATAACTACAACTTTTTGTTTTCTATAAATCAAAGATGCTGAACTACTGATAGGCATATATAAGAAGTAAACTCACATTTCCCCCCAAAACCAATAATACTGTTATAGCTAATAATGATTTATAGCTGTCATTCAAATTGCCTAATACAAGTGATACGTTATGTCATTTAGCCTCATAACGACCCAACGGAAGAGACTCGACCAACTACGGAACGTTCTGGTACAGCCCCAGAAACAGTAGTGGAGCCATGCCTGAGCAGTGTGCCCCCGAGACCACTCTCTTCCTGCGTGGTGACGCTACGATGAGGATAAAGCTTGTTCACTCACTGACTCATCAAATACACATTGCTCCAGGCATAGGGCCAAACAGAAACAAGACAAAATTTCCAGAAGACAAAGCCATTAAATTCCAACACTTGTCTCAAAAATACACGTTTTACAGAAATAGCTCTTAGGGTTTTCCATAGTATTATTTCCCCTCCAAAGGTCTCAATTTCCTGAAGCTAAATTAAACAGTAGGTTAATTCTATGAAGACTATTTAATGACTTACTCCAAACAGAGATCCTTCCCACAGTGTCTCAGAAAACACACTAACAGAAATTTATTTCCACAGGGAAAAAAAGCAATGCTCAGATCCCCCATGAGCAGAGTCGTGAGGCAACCTGAGTGTGGCAAGCTGAGGATGGTACTACTGGCCTGATACTAAGCACAAGGAAAGTGGAATACAGATTGCTTCTGGGGCTTTAAATTAAGGAACAATACTTATTTTTCAGGAAAGGTAATTGCCAGGGAAAATTACCAAATGACCCAGTGCCTTGTTTTAAAGTTTTGGACAATGAGAACTCTGATGGGAAAGTCCACTGGTGGGGAAGGAGTGGGGGTAGATTTTGCAGATATATGCTTATTATCCTCTGTTAAATGATCCAACCAGTCCATCCTAAAGGAAATCAGTCCTGAATATTCACTGGAAGAACTGATGCTGAAGCTGAAACTCCAATACTCTGACCATCTGATTCCAAGAACAGACTTGTTGGAAAAGACCCTGATGCTGGGAAAGATTGAAGGCGGGAGGAGAAGGGGACAGCAGAGGATGAGATGGTTGGATGGCATCACTGACTCAATGGACATGAGTTTGAGTAAACTCTGGGAGTTGGTGATGGACAGGGAGGCCTGGCCTACTGCAGTCCATGGGGTCGCAAAGAGCGAATGAACTGAAAAATACAAATCTTTATTATTTTTTAAAAATTGCGTTGTCTTCCTATTGTTGAACTGTAAGAGTTGGTTATGTATCTTGGATACCTGCTCCTCATATGACACTGGACCTGCACCTATCTCCCCCATTCTACAGGCTGCCTTCTCTCCTTCATGGTGATCTTTGAAGTACTGTATTTTGATGAAGTCTAGTTTATCTGTTTTTTTCTTTTGTTGCTGTCCTTTCGAAGTCACACATGAGAAACCACTGTCTAATCGGGGTCATGAGGCCTTGCAGCTGAAGTTCTACAGCTAAGAGTCACACCTGAGAGGTTTCTTCCAGAATAGTGCGGTGTTCACATTCAAGTTACCTTTTGTATACACTATTAAATAAGGGTCCAACTTCCTTCTTCTGCACATGGGTACCCAGCTGTCCTGGCACCATTTATGGAAAAGACTCTCCTTTCCCCAGATGAATAGTCCTGGAAGCCTTACTGTAAGTCAGCTGACTGCTTCCAGACTCTCAGTTCTATTCTGTTGATCCATAAGTCTGTTCTTACGCCGGGACCATATTGTCCTGCAGCTTTGTAGTGAAGTTTTGAAATTGAGAGGTGTAAGTCCTCCAACTTTGTTTTTCTTTTTTAAGGTTGTTGTAACAATTTGTGATCCTTTCAGTATGTGTATGAATTCTAAGATCTACTTGTTAATTTCTTCAAAAAAAGGAAGCTAAGATTTTGTTACAGATTATATTGAATCTACAAATCAATCTTATATCTTCTAATCTGTGAATACAGGATTTCTTTCCATTTTATTACAGTTCTGCTTTACTTTCTTTCAATGATGTTTTGAAGCTTTCAGTGTATTAAAGGTTGCACTTTTTTTGTTATAAACAATTACTGCTAACTCTTCTATTCTTTTTTATGCTACTGTAAATGGAGTTGCTTTAATTTCATTTTTGGCCTTTAAATGATAGTGTATAGAAACACAATTGAATTTTGTTTGGTGATCTAGTATCCTGCAACCTTGCTGAACTCACTTCCTAGCTCTCGCAGCTTTTTTTCTCCCTAATGTGTATAAACACTCAAGATTTTCTATATACGAGTGCTATGATCTGAATGTGTGCCCCAAATACATATGTTGAATTCCTAACCCCCAAAGTGATGATACCGGGAAGCAGAGCCCTTAGGAGATGCTTAGATCAAGAGGATGGAGCTCCTGTGAGTGGGGATGGAGTCCTTATAGCGGAGGCTCCAGAAACACCTCACACCTTTTCCACCACGTAAGGACACAGCAAGGAGGTGCTGGCTATCAGCTTCCAGACCTGTAAGAAATAATTTCCTGTTGTTTGTAAACCATCCTGGAGTGTGAGGTCAAGTGGGCCTTAGGAAGCATTACTACGAACAAAACTAGTAGAAGTGATGGAACTCCAGCTGAGTTATTTCAAAGCTTAAAAGATGATGATGTGAAAGTGCTGCACTCAATACGCCAGCAAATTTGGAAAACTCAGCAGTGGCCACAGGACTGGAAAAGGTCAGTTTTCATTCCATTCCCAAAAAAAGGGCAATGCCAAAAAATGTTCAAACTACCACACAGTTGCACTCATCTCACATGCTAGCAAAGTAATGCTCAAAATTCTCCACATGAGGCTTCAACAGTACATGAACAGAGAACTTCCAGACGTACAAGCGGGATTTAGAAAAGGCAGAGGAATCAGAGATCAAATTGCCAACATCTGCTGGATCACAGAAAAAGCAACAGAATTCCAGAAAAGCATCTACTTCTGCTTCATTGGCTATACTAAAGCCTTTGACTGTGTGGATTACAACAAACTGTGGAAAATTCTTAAAGAGATGGGAATACCAGACCACCTTACCTGCCTCCAGGGCTTCCCTGGTAGCTCAGACGGTAAAGCATCTGCCTACAATGCGGGAGACCTGGGTTCAATCCCCATGTTGGGAAGATCCCCTGGAGGAGGAAATGGCAACCCACTCCAGTATTCATGCCTGGAAAATCCCATGGACCGAGGAGCCTGGTGGGCTACAGCCCATAGGGTCTCAAAGAGTCAGACACGACTGAGCGACTTCACTTCACCTCTTTACCTGCCTCCTGAGAAATCTGTATGCAGGTCAAGAAGCAACAGTTAGAACCAGACATGGAACAACAGACTGGTTCCAAATTGGAAAAAGAGTACGTCAAGGCTATATATTGTCACCGTGCTGTTTAACTTATATGCAGAGTACATCATGCAAAATGCCAGGCTGGATGAAGCACAAGCTGGAATCAAGATTGCCCAGAGAAATATCAATAACCTCAGACATGCAGATGACACCACCCTAATGGCAAAAAGTGAAGAGGAACTAAGAGCCTTTTGATGAAGGTGAAAGAGGAGAGTGAAAAAGCTGGATTAAAACTCAAAGTTCAAAAAAGTAAGATCATGGCAACTGGTCCCTTCACTTCATGGCAAAGAGATGGGGAAAAAGTGGAAACAGTGACAGACTTTATTTTCTTGGCTCCAAAATCACTGTGGATGGTGACTGTAGCAATGAAATTAAAAGACAGTTGCTTCTTGGAAGAAAAGCTATAATAAACCTAGACAGCATACTAAAAAGCAGAGATATCACTTTGTTGACAAAAAGTCTGTATAGTCAAAGCCATGGTTTTCCCCAGTAGTCACATACAGACTGTGACAGTTGGACCATCAAGAAGGCTGAGTATGAAAGAATTGAACTGTGGTGCTGGAGAAGACTCTTGAGAGTCCCTTGAGAGACTGCAAGGACATCAAACCAGTCAATCCTAAAGGAAATCAACCCTAAATATTCATTGGAAGGACTGATGCTGAAGCTTAATCTCCAATACTTTGGCCACCTGATGTGAAGAGCTGACATTGGAGAAGACCCTTATGCTGGGAAAGACTGAGGCAGGATAAGGGGGTGACAGAAGATGAGATGGCTGGATGGCACGTGAGTCTGAGCAAACTCCAGGAGCTGGTGAAGGACAGGGAAGCCTGGTAGGCTGCTGTTCATGGGGTCGCAAAGAGTCAGACACAACTGAGTGACTGAACAACAACAAAAGCAGGTGTTTGCTGCTCCCTCCCACTTCCATACTTGCTACATCAACCAGGATAGCTCTCCAAGTTGCATCTTTCTCCTTGATAACTTCCCTTGCTGTTTGAGTTTTTCTTCAGAAAAGGTGAGGAAGGAAAAAGAAATTAACAAAAAAGATTTAAAAGCTACACAAATGAAACCTTCTTCTACAGCTCCCAGTGGACTGTCTAGTGGGCACAAAAATATTCCCACAGTGAGTGTGAGTGGCAGAGATGATTCAGACCCAAATGGGCTTTGACTCTAAAGTAAAATGGAGTCATTTCATTACTTACTTATTCCAACTAAGTAAACATGGCTATGTGCCCTAATTATTTAAGTCATTTACAAATCTTTATGCTAAAGAAGAAAACGCACCTTTCCCCTGAAGAATGTGTCCAAGGCCAGGAGCCCACAGCGTCTTCGGTCCTCATCAGCGGCCACTTCATATTCTGCCTGATTGCAGAGATGACACAAAAGAAAAATGTTAGTTAAGCTTCTTTGTGGACTTTGTAAGGTTTCAAAAATCCTCTAACTTGTGGAACTGACTTGGTGCCTTGAGAACCAGTGAGCAGCTCTATTGATCAAGTATCTGCAGCTCTTCTTTGGGAAACTGATGGCCATGAGGGGTAAAACTGGCTTATTTTCAAAGGATCAATAATGTAATAAAGCAACACACACCACAATGCTCCCTATATCATATTGTATTTTCAGCCCTCAAATGTGGCCAAACAAAATGGAGCAAGGTGAACCACCTGGGCTGTTCTCGGCAACGGCGCTTTAGGAAAGCCCAAGAGGCACTTGGACACCTGTGTGCAGTGCTCCCAAGGAAGTCAGTCCGCAACACCTGAGTGGGTGCCATTCACAAACACGTGTCAGGGATCAACCGAAGGGCAGGCGACAGCACGCAGGCCAGAAAACAAAGTCACAGGCAGCACCTCTTCAGTATCTAAACCCCCATCGAGGATGAGCAAGGAACAAGGAATGGGAAGACGGAGAAGAGAAAGAGAGACAAGGGGGAGATCACCAAGGCTGAGATAAGAGAATTTCAACAAGTTGTTCTGCAGCATCCCCAGCCAGGGAGACAGGAGGATGCAGAGGCCTCACGAAGCCCAAGTTCTGCAAGTGGGACCCTGAAGAGCAGTGAAGCTGAAAGGCAGATGGGAATTGAGAGAGGTGGGGAATGAAGACCCAAGGAGGCTGCTCTACTGAACACACGGAGAGGACTCCAGGACGAAGGGCTGCGTGTCAGCATCCAGCCCCCTCCCTCCTCTGCTCAGGCCCGGCACAGGGCCCGGGACCTAGGCCAGCTGCCCTCCCAGAGCCGACTCCATCCTCTCTGTTCAAAGGCATCACACTCACCAGCACACTGACCGGCAGACTGTTTACTCACAGACTGCTCAACTCAAGTTCTAGGAGCTCTGGATACGATACGGTGGACAATCGATGGGAAAGGAAGTGTTGTGATTCTGTGATAGCCTCTAACATGCTAGTCAGACTGGCAACAATCTCCAGTTACTCAAACACTAACCCAGTGTTGCTGGGTATTTGTAGACGTGACCAGAGTTCCTCGTTCAACGAGTGCAAAGGCCTTTCAAGCAGAGCTGAGGCTTCCTTGAGAAGTTCTGCCTGAGGAGAGCAGCTTCACCCACTGCTGGGGAGGCCTGTTCTGTCCTTCCTGATGGATTTCCCACCTCCAGCCAGATCACAGCATCATGGATGATGATTCCTTGCAATAAATCTCTCAGCATATCTGCTACCGCTTCCACGTCTTTCCTCGGCCCCTGACAGATACAGATGGTATAATTCATTCAGCACACAATGAGCGGGGAACAGAGCGAACCACCATGTCCGCGGCCAGGAGAAGGAAGAGGATAAGACGCCACCTGCCCACTCAAGGAGCTCAAAGAACGTGGTGTAACCCACCACAAGGGGAGTCGGAGCTGCAGTGAGGCGTGGTGGCATACACAGGTGTGGCCCATGCACCCACGAGGCTACCGGCGAAAAACTAACCCTGCCGCCACGGCCAGCAAGCCAGGCACCTACCAACTAAAGGGCTCATGATTTATCAGAAGATTCAGCTGTACACCTAAAACTAACACAGCATTGTACATCAACTACAGTCCAAGAGAAAATAGAAAGTTTTAAAAAGGAGGCATGCATGCTCAGTCACTTCAGTTGTGTCCGACTCTGCACCACCCTATGGGACCATAAACCGCTGGCGTCCCCTGCCCGTGGGTTCTCCCAGGTAAGAACACTGGAGTGGGCTGCCACGCCCTGCTCCAGGGGACATTCTTGACTCAGGGATTGAACCCATGTCTCTTACGTCTCCTGCACTGGCAGGCAGGTTCCTTATCATGAGCGCAACCTGAGAAGCCTTAAAAAGGAAGCTCTGACTGCCTCCCTCCCAGCCGTCTCTCAGCCCAGTCCAGGCACCAGTAAGGAGCGGCCGGGGAGCTCCCCGAGGAGGAGCAAGCAACAAAACAGGCAAGGGCCCCGTACGGTTTTCTGAAAGAATACATACAGCTACATAATTTTAAAAAGCTAAGAGGAAAAAATGAATAAAATCCCCATGATACAGGATAGTACTTTGCACACAGTATGAAGTCAATACATATTTGCTGATGTGACTAGGACAGGCCAAAGCCGAGAGGGAAGTGTCATAATCAGGGCAGAGCTAACTAATGTTTAGAGAGCTTTTCTATTAAACTTTACCGATTTTCCGTTAAGCTGCCTCTGAATTTTATAGTTTTGAAGCTTCTAGTCTTGCCAGTGCTACCTCTATGGTTTCAGAAACACAACATCTTTTCACCTAGAAGATCAGGGTAAACGTCGAGCTGGAGACACAGAAACGTCAGGCAGACTTAGAAGGACAGTCAATTCCATTCGCTGTGACCCTGCATCCTACACCTGCTTTCTTCCCTGTGTGTGCTCTGGGCAGAGGCGTCTCCAAGTACTCAGGGCGACTGGAGGGGGCGGCTCTACAAGCGCTGCCTTCACCAGCTCTTCAGCCTTCTTAGAAGGGAAAGCGGCGTTTCAAAGCTACGTCGTAAACACCTTTGATTCTCCAACGCTTCAGAAGTAATCTGCATGAACTACTCCTTTATCCACTTTAAACCGACCCAGCATGACACCAGGACAAGGTTATGCACTCGCACCTCAGCGCAAGGTCTAATCACTTAGCACGCTCTCAAGTTAGTTTCCAGTTCTCAAAAGCACAGGCTCGGGTGGTTCAACACTGTGATAACCACTCACCACTGCATCCAGGAACTCAATCCGCTTCTTCAGATCTTCTTTCGTGTCACAGAACTGCCTGAAGAGAAGTCTTCCGATCGGCTGCTTGTCACAGAGGCTGCTGTAATCCTTCTCTGGGTGGAGAGAAGACAGCAAACGCACATGCTTTTCTGAACCTCACTACTTTTACCTGATACAAGACACGTCAGAAACAGTATTTGCAGTATTACTGTTGAAACCACAGTTCTGTTTACTAATTCACACTGGGTTATCATGAATATTTGATAAAGTGCCAAAGGCAGCTAGAAGAATGCATGAAGAGAGAAAGGTGTGTGGAGACGGACTGGGAGTTCCCTGCTCCCCATACAAAGGAAAGGGGGGTCTCCCGGGGAACCGAGGGGCAGGAAAGAGCGCTGGGTGGGTCCTTCCACTACACCACCCACTCCGTGTGTTAGGCACAAATTAAACGCATGTGAAATACACCACAGGAATATACTACGTTAGATCTTTGAAAACTTGTTTCGATACATTTCTATTCTTTCCCAAGTTAACAAATATATTTTTAATGATTTTTCAACTGTTTTTTTTTTCCTCTCTGGTAGGATAATATATTGTATACCTTACCTTACCCCAAATACTGATATTATCTTGAGAACAAGGCACTAAAATTTGGCGAAAGTTGTCACGAGGGCTATAAGGCAAAATCATATGTTCAAAATAGGTTTATTTAAACTTCAACAAGAAAATCAGTTGCTCTTTTAGCAGTGGCTCTGAACTTGAGCATAATTATGTTCAGATATTCCTATGGCTCAGATGGTAAAGAATGTGCCTGCAATGCAGGAGATCTGGGTTCAATCTCTGGGTCAGGAAAATCCCCTGGAGAAGGGTATGAAAACCCACTCCAGTATTCTTGCCTAGAGAATCCCATAGACAGAGCAACCTGGCAGGCTACAGTCCATAGGGTCCCAAAAAGTCAGACACAACTGAGCAACTAACACTTTCACTTTTCTTTCACATTCCTAAACCAACTATAAAGGTGAAGAATTAAGTGAAAGTCATGAAAACAAGCAGGTCCTAACAAATCCCTCAACTAAAAAGTTTATTAATGCCAAGTATAAGTAGGAACGAAATCCTATTTAGATCACTGAGTCTGCACGTGGGGAATTCACCCAAGGATATAAAACCATGTTTGCCATTGCACAACTGCTTGTTTCAACAAATGTCAGCAGCAGTTTGGCAAAAATTCTGCCACCCACTTTATCCAATTGGGCTACATTTTATTTAGGGATACTCACTAACTATGTTTAAAAAACATAGGACATAAGATGGTTAAAGGGGTATGTTTTTAAGTTGAGAGGTTTTTTTGAGTTTTTTTTGTTTGTGGCTGTACCTCACAGCAGGTAGAACTTCTTTGACTGGGGGACCAGGCTTCCAGCCCTCGCCACCTGCAGTGGAAGCATGGAGTCTTAACCACTGGACAGCCAGGGAAGTCCAAAGCTGAGAGCTGTAAACTCTCTGCCCCCACACTCAGAGGTTCATAGATCTTCCCGGTTTCTAGCGGGGTCACAGATGGAGCACAGGTGTGCCAGCCTTCTCACCCAGGCTCCTGCTGAAAGGACCAAAGACAAAACCACAACAGAAAGGATGAAGCCTGACATGGAAAAAAGAATACAGGTGTCCTCGGGAGTTAAGAGATCTGAGGATTGCATGGGCTTCCCACGTGGCTCAGTGGTAAAGAATCCACCTGCAATGCAAGAGACACGGATTTGATCCCTCGGTCAGGAAGATGCCCTGGAGGAGGAAATAGCAACCCACTCCAGTATTCTCACTTGGGAAATGCCAAGGAGAGAGAAGCCTGGTGGGCTACAGTCCATGGGATTGTACAGAGTCAGACACAGCGGGAAGAGAGAAAGCCAACAGCACAGGACTGTTAAAGAAACCACGAGGTGAATCCGCGGAGACAAGGAAGCTGGCCCAGGTGACTGGATCCCAGGAGCCCCGCCAAGGCCTGAACACAACTGCAGTCCTGAGACTTCTTCAGGCTGGAGCCACTTTGCAGAATGTGGGTCTCTGCCAAGAGGGATGCTGAGACCCCGAGGAGGCAGAGCCCGGCTGGAGGAACTACATGCTCCGCTGGCAAAGTGGAGCAACGCTGTCTGTGGCCCCCGGAACACAGGCTCCGTGCGGATGGAACCTCACTGACCCACCCACCTTCCAGAACCCCATGCAAGTGAGGGGTGCCCAGAAAAGCAGAACTACATGACCACAGAGGAAGCCCCTCTCTTAAATTAGACATACATTAAATTTTATAATTAAGCATACATTAAGTTTTATAATTAAATATACATTAAATTTTCCCAGGCTGAAGATTAAAGGCTCCAATAAATGTTAAACATGACAAAAGAAGGTTGATCCAGAGGTAGAGACATCTCAGAGGCGTTCCCAGCAGTTAAGGAGAAACAATACCTCTGAGAAAGAATAAAAAATTAACCACAAAATGTAAGATCCAGAGGGACACAGTAAGCAGTAAAAATTACTTGGAGGAGCTGTAATAACAGAAGAAGAAGAAATCAAAGAGGACAAAATGGAAACCAAAAAGAATAACTAGTGGGTACAATCTAGAAAGAGCAAAAAACAAATAAATAAACTAGAAAAATCAATAGCTCTATCAAAATATTTGGAAGGCTCCTCGGCAGAGTGTGATGTTCAGTTCAGAACATTTTCTTCTTTCTGGCTCCAGCCACACTTAACAGTTTCTAGATCACATGGAATACACATCACCTACAATGCTATACTACTGTACCAGATTTTAATTTGTTAGAACAATCTATGGACCAAGATACACAGAAGGCAGACCCCACAAGCAGTTCAGAGCGGCTGAAAGAGGACACGCAGGGAGGCCAATGTGGAGGCAAATGAAGCTTCAAGGAGGAAAAGAAAAGAAACGATCAGAGCCTCAAAAGGCCTAGATGCCACCCCAAGGAGTCTCCTTGTGTCCTGGAAGGAGTGGAGATAATTTCCTCCTCTCGCCGTGTGCCAGGGCACCTGCAAGTCCTCTCTGTGTACCATCGCTTTTGACCTTCACAGTTATACTTACAAGTGAGGCATTCTGAAGACAGCAGAGACCTATGGGACATGCCCGAGGGCCATCTAGAAGGACCCAGGCCGTGGGCGGGGAGGGGGGCAGCAAGCTGGGGCCGGGGGGCCAGCCAGCCTAAGAGCAGTGGTGACCTGCGGGAGGCGGCAAGCACGGGAGGAAAGGGCCAGTTTCTCCCGACAAACGCGTCTCAGGAGGCAACTGGTTTCAGGGGCGCGTCCCTCAGTGCCGAGGAGGCAACGACAGGAGGGGCACAAGGACCGCGCCAGGGATGCCAAGGAAACAGCGGGCTCAGAGCAGCCAGCCCTGAGCTGCAGCAAGATCTGCATCGTGTAGGCAGCACAGGGCAGACAGAGCTCCTTCTCGGACACACGTACAATCTCCAAACTAACATCACTGAACTTTACACTTCAAAACGGTTAAAATGCTCACTTCTGTTATGTTTACTTTACCACAATTAAAAATGACTTGTACATGAGTAACTCTGGCCAGCTGATGTGAAGAGCTGACTCAAGTGAAAAGACCTTGATGCTGGGAAAGATTGAAGGCGGGAGAAGGGGACGACAGAGGATGAGATGGTTGGATGGCATCACCACCTCAGTGGACATGAGTTTGAGTAATCTCTGGGAGTTGGTGATGGACAGGGAAGCCTGGCGTGCTGCAGTCCATGGCATCAAGAAGAGTCAGACACGACTGAGCGACTAAACTGAACTATAGCCGTATTATTCATAACAGACAAAAAATGGAAAACAACTCAGTATCTATGAAATGATGAATGGATAAAGAATAATATGTACAGTGGAAGAGTATTTGACAACAAAAAGGAGGTAAGTACTGATCCATGCTACACAGTGCAGGAACTCTGGCAAGATGAGGTTAAGTGAAAAGAAGCCAGTCACAGGAGCCCACACAGCACATGGTTCCGGTCTGTATGAAATCCACCTACATGAGATGTCCGGGATCGGCAAATCCACAGACACAGAAGTGGATGAGTGGCTGCCTTTGGCTGGAAGTGGCGGGAGGGAATTGGGAGTAGCTACCAGTGGGTACGGGGTCTCTTTCCAGTAATGAGTATGTCGTAAAACTAAAGAACTGCCTGTGGTAATGGCTGCGCAGCTCTGTGACTGTATTAACCCACTGCACCATACACGTCAAATAGGTGAGTTTCTGTGACTGTAGTAACCCCACTGCACTATACACGTCAAATAGGTGAGTATCTGTGACTGTAGTAACCCACTGCACTATACACGTCAAATAGGTGAGTTTCTGTGCCTGTAGTAACCCACTGCACTATACACGTCAAATAGGTGAGTTTCTGTGACTGTAGTAACCCCACTGCACTATACACGTCAAATAGGTGAGTTTCTGTGACTGTATTAACCCACTGCACTATACACGTCAAATAGGTGAGTTTCTGTGACTGTAGTAACCCCACTGCACTATACACGTCAAATAGGTGAGTTTCTGTGACTGTATTAATCCACTGCACTATGCACGTCAAATAGGTGAGTTTCTGTGACTGTATTAACCCACTGCACCATACACGTCAAATAGGTGAGTTTCTGTGACTGTATTAACCCCATTGCACCATACACGTCAAATAGGTGAGTTTCTGTGACTGTATTAAACCCACTGCACTATACACTTCAAATAGGTGAGTTGTAGGGTGTGCTAATTATACCAAAAAATTGCTATTTTTAAAACATAATGAGAAAAAAATGTAATGAGGTTAATTAACAAGGTTGGATAGGTTTTTTTAGGGGAAAAATACTCTGACTTTATGCTATCTGAAGTTAATTTTGATAGTTAAAATATTTAAACTTTCTTAAAAAGGAACTATAATGGTACTAAAGAAAAAACAGATTTTTAAAAAATTATCTTGGGAAAAAAAAATTATCTTGGAGTATAGGTGTCTTCCCTAAATACAACAAAAAGTTCAGAGGCTAAGAAGAAAAATATTGATATAGTTGCCTACATAAAAAATTAAAATGTCCATATTGAAAAAATACTGCAAGTCAAAAGGCAAGAGCAGAAATAGAAAATGTATTCACATTGAATATAAAAGGATAACTCATTTCAGATATAAAGAACTCTTACAAATGAATTAGAAGAAAAGAAAACTGAAAAAACCCAAGAAAACGGCTCAACTCCATCCATAATTAAAATGAGACCATTTTTCAAATTATAACTTGACATGAATCTAAGCAAACTTCGGAAGACAGTGAAGGCCAGGGAACCTGGCGTGTTGCAGTCCATGGGGTCACAAAGAGTCGAATATGAATAAGGAACTGAACAACAACAAAAAGATGAAAAATGGTAACCATCAGTGTTCGCAAAGTCACAGGCAAGGGTAAAGTGATACAGACTTTGCAGAAGGCAATGTGGGAATATCAGCATTTTGAATGCACATCCTGTGAACTGGAAATCACATGTGTAAACAAACACAGTGATGACTGCCCTTATGCACGGCTCTACACATGGCTTGCTCTACACACGACTTCTTACGCTCACGTCAGGACCTGTAGCTAACTCTCACTCTTACAGCTGTGGAGTCATCCGTGACATTGACGTAGCTTATTGTTTATCTGACCACTCCTTTCCTGAAGTTCCCATCAATAATTCCTGTCCACACACACAGAGATCCGTCTGGAAGGAGAAAGAAACGGTTACCAGCGTCCCCTTCTAGAGGGGATGAGCACTGCACTTCTCTTCAGCTCTATCAAGAACAATGGGCCTATATTACATCTTAAAGAATGTTCTTAATTTTATTTATTTTTATTTATTTATTTGGTCATGCCACACAGCTTGTGGGATCTTAGTTCCCTGACCAGGGATTGAACCCAGGCCCACAGCAGTGAAAGGGTGGAGTCCTACCTACTGGACTACCAGGGAATTCCCAAGATCTTTTTAATGAAAAAGTCAATAGCCATACACTTTATAATGTTTATAATGCACATTAGAAAACCTATGCGATTTTTTCCTGTGAAGAGTCCTGATGGTATAAGGAGAATCTATTATAGAGGATTTGAAGCAAACAAGAGACTCAAGAAAAAAGTAACATCCAACAAAGGGAAACAGCACAGGCTAGACTCGGCCTCCAGGGAAGCGGGCGTGTCTCCGTACTCACCGATGGACTGGCGAAGCTCGCTGCACTGGCTGACGGGCGGCAGTCTCAGCATCTCCCTCCATTTCCTACTACGACCACTTTTTTTGCTAATCCCTCCTAAAAAACAGCAACAAAAAAGTACTTCTGTAACATTCAGAACTATGCGTTTCTAACAGCTACTTACTTCCACTCACGTTGGGAAGATCCCCTGGAGGACGGCATGGCAACCCACTCCAGTATTCTTGCCTGGAGAATCCCATGGACAGAACAGCCTGGTGTGCTATAGTCCATGGGACTGCAAAGAGTCAAATGCGACTGAAGTGATGGAGTGCGTGCGCGCACGCACACACACACACACACACACACACACACACACAGTGAAAAATGGTGTGAAACAAAACCAGGTCATGCAAACGTGGAGGGTGCTTGTTGGGCTAAGATGGGACCAGGAGAGGCCCCTCTGGGTCACGCGTGGGCAGAGACCTCGGAGGCGAGGATGCAAGCCTCCGAAAGGCCTAGGAGGACTGTCCCTAGCAAGACAAGAATGGTAGGCAGAGCAATTAGATAACAGTTTAGAAAGATGTTTTCATTTATTATTTGGCTGTGCCAGGTCCTAGCTGCAGCCTGCAGGCTTCTCTCCAGTTGCAGCGCCCAGGCTGCAGCGAGCAGGCTCAGCAGTTGAGGGACAGGGGCTTACTTGCCCCGAAGCATCTGGGATGGTAGTTCCCCAAGCAAGGATCAAACCCCCGTGCCCTGCAGTGGAAGGCAGACTCCTAATCACTAGACAACCAGGGAAGTCCCTTTCATCTTTATTCTTGATAACCTTCCTTCCTCTGAAGTTTAAGCTGTGTGAACGGACAACAGGCACTCCCATTGTCTTTTTGGGGCAGGGGTAAAAACTGTGCTATTTGAGTACAACTGAGTACTACAGAGCAAGAAGAGTGAACACACACTGACCACCGACAGTATGAATGGATTTCAAAAACCATCCTGAGGAAAGGAGAGTGAGTGTAAGTTGCTCAGTTGTGTCCGACTCTTTGCGACCCCATGGGCTATACAGTCCATGGAATTCTCCAGGAAGAATACTGGAGCGGGTAACCTTTCCCTTCTCCAGGGGATCCTCCCAACTCAGGGACTGAACCCAGGTCTCCCACACTGCAGGCAGATTCTTTACCAGCTGAGGCACAGGTGAAGCCCAAGAACACTGGAGTGGGTAGCCTATCCCTTCTCCAGTGGATCTTCCCAACCCAGGAATCGAACTAGGGTCTCCTTCATTGCAGGCGGATTCTTTACCAACTGAGCTATCAGGGAAGCCAAAGGAAGCTGGACACAAGAGAATTCAGACAGTATAATTCCACTGATATAAATTTCAAAAATAGCTGAAACTAATTTATAGGTGTATAAATCAGAAAAATAGTTATCTATGGGTAGGGGCCTGGCGTGCTGTAGTCCACAGGGTCACAAAGAGTCAGACACGACTGAGTGACTGAACGACGACGACGACGAGGAAGGTAGGCTGATAATGGTTTTTTTTAATATTTTTTATTGGAATATAATTGCTTTACAGTGTTGTCAGTTTCTGCTCTACATCATGAATCAGCCACGTTGCATACATACATCCCCGCCCTCGTGAACCTCCCTTCCATTCCCCCCCCCCAACTCCACCCCTCCAGGATGTCACAGAGCGCTGAGCTCAGCACCCTGACAGAGGAGTGGATAAAGATGATGTGGTACATACATGCAATGGAGTATTACTCAGCCAAGAAAAGGAGCGCAATTGGGTCATCTGTAGCAATGCAGCATGCCAGGCTTCCCTGTCCTTCACTATCTCCCGGAGTTTGCTCAGACTCATACCCACTGAGTCAGTGATGCCATCCAACTATCTCATCCTCCGCCACTAACTTCTCTTCTTGCCCTGTCTTTCCCATTATCAGGGTCTTTTCCAATGATAGGCTCTTCACATTAACACATGTATACGGAATCTAGAAAAATGACACTGATGAACCCATTTGCAGGGCAGGAACAGAGGCAAAGATTTAGACAATGAACTCATGGACACAGTGCGGGAAGGAGAGGAGACAAACTGAGAGACTAGCATTGACTCATGTGCACTATTGTGTGTGAAACAGCTAGGGGAAGCCGCTGTGCACCACTGTCTTTTGACAAGTGTCTTTCTCCATCTGTTTTTCACGTATACGCATCTCTATATTTAAGATGGGTTTCCTGTAGACAACAGAGAGTTGGGTCTTGTTTTTTCATACACTCTGACCACCTCTTAGAGTCAGTACACTTAGACCACTCACATGGAAAGTGATCACTAACATAGTTGGATTACCATCTACAATATAACTCTTTTCTATTTCTTGCCCTTGTTCTTTGTTCTTATTGTTCTCTTCCATTTTTTTTGCCTTTCACAGTTATAATTGATCATATTATGAAACAATTTTCTCATCTTTCTTAGTATATAAATTATACTTCTCTTTAAATTGTTTTTAGTGGTTGTCTTAGAGTTCATAATTTATATTTATGACTAATCCAAGTCCACTCTCAAATAACACTATGCCACTTCACAGGCAGTAAAATTACCTTATTTTAAAAAAAAACTGCAAAGATTGAGGGCAGGAGAAGGGGATGACAGAGGATGAGATGGTTGGATGGCATCACCAACTCGATGGACATGGGTTTGGGTAGACTCTGGGAGTTGGTGATGGACAGGGAGGCCTGGTGTGCTGTGGTTCATGGGGTTGCAGAATCGGATACGACTAAGCAACTGAACTGAACTGAACCCGGGAGTTGGTGACAGAGAGGGAAGCCTGGTGTGCTGCAATCCCTGGGGTCGCAAAGACTCGGACATGACTGAGCGACTGAACTGAACTGGAAAGTATTTCTTTTTCATTTTTGAGGGATATTTTCATAAGAAATTCTGTGTAGTTTCTCAGAAGTCAGATGTAATTCCTATCTTTCATCCTCTAGAAGTAAGGTGTTCTTCTCTCTGGCTTCTTTCTGGTTTTGTCTTTACCTTTGAATTCCATACCTTTGGGGTTTTTTGTTTCTTCATAGTTACCATCTTATTTTTATATGTTTGGTGTGATTTCCATATCTTTCAATGTGACTTGCCTAGGTGTAGTTTTGGGGGACATTTATCCTATTTGGTGTTTTCTGAGCTTCCTGGATTTGTGGCTTTGATGTCTGACAGTAGTTTGGGGGAAATTTTCAGTCATTTTCAAATATCTCTTCCACTTCTGTTTCTTCCCCTTCTGGTCTTCCCTTATATGCATGTTACAATTTTGTAGCTGTCTCATAGTTCCTGGGTGTTCTAATATCTATTCAGTCTTTTTTTTCTCCTTTTCAGTTTCAGAAGTTTCTACTATCACATCCTGAACCTCAGTCTTTCCTCAGCCCTGTTCAGTCTACAAATGAGCCCACAAAAGCATTCTTCATTTCTTTAAAAAAAATTACTTATTTTTGGCTGTCCTGGTAATTCCAATGTTCCTACTTTTACTCAGACCATTAAGTCATGAAGAAGGTGGAGGAGAAGGCCGACATGCTCAACATGAACTTTAACAGAATCACGCTAGCTGGCGTGTTGAGAACAGACCACAGGGTCAGAAAGGCAGAAGTGAGCCGAAGCAGCAGCAACTGCAGTCTTCCAGGTGGAGGTGGCGAGAGGTCAGAGTCGATTATATTTTGAAGAGAGACATGAAAATAATTGTCCAGTGACTGGGGATGGTGTATAAGGATCAAGGCAATCCTAGGATTTGGGGCCTGAGCTTCAACTGAGATGCTGAAAGAAAAAAAATGGGGCAGGAGAATTAAGATTCTAGTTCTGACTTTTTTTTGTGCACTGAGGTCTAGGAGCAGCGATGCCAAGTGGGCAGGTGGACAATCGATCTGCAGATCCGTACCCTGAGGCTGCTGTGACAGATCACCGTGCGCTGCGTGACTCAGACAACAAGCACCCATTGCTCAGGGCTCTGAGGGTGGGGATTCCGAGATGAAGGTGCCAGCAGACCTGGTGCCTGGTTTATATACAGCTGTCCTCATTCCGTCCTCACACGGCCTTTCCTCGGTACATGCTCTCTGTTTAAAAGCCCCCCCCTTACAACCTCATCCAAACAGTTACCCCGCAAGTGCCCTGCCTCCAAATCCCTTCCCAGTGGGCCCGAGTGTCAGTAGGTGAGTTTGGGGTGGGGGTAGGGAGCAAGCGCTGCATCCACAGCGGCAGGCTGGAGACACCCATGTTGGAGAACCCTGACGGCCACCCACCCTGAGTGTGGAAGATGACACTGAAACAGAACAGAAAACCAAGACATTTTCCAACAAGGCAAAACTTGCCTTTTTGAAAAAATTTATTTATTTGGCTGCATGAGGTCTTAGTTACCGCATGTGGGGTCTTCAGTTGCGAGAGGTGAACTCTCAGTCGTGGCATGTAGGATCCGGTTCCCTGAAACCTGGGCCCCCTGCATTGGGAGTTTGGAGTCTTGGCCACTGGACACCAGGGAAATCCCAAGGGAAAAACTCACTTTCTCCCACGGTACCAGCTCCAGAGGGCCTCCCAGGTGGTTCAGTGATAAAGAATCTGCCTCTGAATGCGGAGACTTGGGTTAGATCCCTGGTTCGGGAAGATCCCCTGGAGACAAAAATGGCAACCCACTCCAGTATTCTTGCCTGGAGAATTCCATGGGGAGAGGAGCTGGCGGGGTGCAGTCCATGGCGTTACAGAGTCAGACACAACTGAGTGACTGAGTGCGCAAACACCCATTTCAGAGGAATTACACAGAACAGTGAACTTATTGTCACCCAAGGAAATTTCCCCAAACGTTGTGGACCACTCATCAGCTCAGTGAGGCTGGGGTTCGGGAGGAGGCCTTGTTAAACAGGGGAACTGATCTCATCTCATGCTGTGTCATCATGACAACTGTTTGGAGCCAAGGCAGCTACCCCACCTACTGGAAGCCCTGACTGTGGTCCCAAACCATGGAGCCCTACACCCAGGTCTTACCTTTCAAGCAGCAGATCTGCCCTAGGTTCCAGTGAATGAAAATGACGTGGAGTTAGATGAAGTGCATTTTAGGTCCTGATGACCACAGCCAATAATCAAATTTCATGCCAGAGAA